ACAGAATTAGAGAAAATCCTAAAATTTCATTTGGAACCAGAAAAGACCTAGAATAGCAAAAGCAATTCTGGGCAGCAAAAGCAAGGCAGGGGGCATCACAGTGCTTGACTTGAAATTATACTACAAAGCTACAGTGATTTAAAAAAAAAAAAAAAAGCATGGTACTGGCGAAAATAAAGACCCAAGGATCGATGGAACAGACTGGAAGATGCAGAAACAACTCCATAAATAGCCACCTTATCAATGACAAAGAGGCCAAACACCTTCACTGGAAGAAAGATAGACTAACTGGCTTTCCACATACCAAAGACCAAAACTAGACTCATTATCTCTCAACATGCGCTAAACTAAGTAATATCTAAATATTAAAATACTGTCTTTAGGCTGAAATCTAAGCAACAACTGTGACACCAGAGAGAAGCCAGTGGTTACCGTCAAAGAGAATATTAAGCCATGAGAAGTGAACAGAGACCAAGGAAGAAGTATTCCTCCCAAAGAGGTGAGAAGGAACTGTAGCAAAAAAAATAACTGTAACTAAGAATGATGGAGAAAAAGGACTACTACAAGAAGAAAACTGAAACCAAGAATTCTCAGTTCATCCCCCATTCATCATCCTGGAGCCTTCCCTCTTCTTCCCAGCTGTCCAGGGTTCCTGCCCGCAACATGTTATCCCCTGTCCTGTGGCATTTTCTATGGGCTCAGGTTCCACCTTCCCAGCTGGTATTTCTGTCCCAGGAACCTTTCATCAGTTTGCGGCTCACTCTCCAGCAGGAAAACAGGTACAAGCTGAGAAACAGTCCCACATTTCTTACAGCCAGCAATAGCCCTCTAGACCAGAGCCAATGAACCAGGGACCTCAACAGTCACAGTCTCCTTCCCAGCAACCCCTTACACCTTTACCAGCTCAGCCAACAGCACAGTCTGCAAGGCACTTGTAGGTTCAAGCTCTAGCTCAGCAGCAACAGTACCCTACCAAAGTCATGCCACCTTTGGGGAAAAGCTTATTGCACCCCTAGAAATCCATATATGAAAAGGGTGTGCTCTGTAACTGGGAATATTCACCCAAAATGGTCAAAACTAAGACACAAACTATTTAATTTTGTAGCGAATTAAGGGAACTATTTGAACTTCAGTGAAAAGGATCATAAGGGAAGAAAAATCAGCTTCTCAAAAATAACATTAAAGAAAACACAGGCTGTTCAAGGAAAGAAAAACTGTTCTGCCATCTTTCAGATATGTATATAAATAGTCTGCTAAAAGTATTGAATATTAAGAACTCAGGGAAGAGCTATGGGGTTAGCTGAATATTAGAGCGCTTGCCTATAGTGAATGAGGCCTTTGGTTCAATCCCCAGCCCTGGGAGATGGGTGGAGAGAGACTGAGCTCAGGCAAACACTTGCTGAGGGATTCCTTGCTATCAAGAACTCATTGTTACTTTAGCAAAATACTTGGCTGTTACACATTGAATATGTTTAGCTGTAGATCTAAAATGAAGGTGAAGGAAATGGCGACTCGAAAGTCAAAACATCATGGACTGTCCCTTGCAAAGTTACTACACATGAATTATGTATGTGAATGCCATGAAATGAGTCACTTTTATATAATCTTATCTGTGTACATCAAAGGATGTATTTCCTCAAAATACATAGAGAAATAACAGTGGTGCTTAGTTATATAAAAAGATGATCTGCCTCATAGGAGAAACTGAGAACCAGATTTCAAAAATTTTATAATACTCTCTGCTGTCAAGCCTTTTTATGTGTGTAAGATAGCATGGGGAATAAAAATATGTACATATCAGCATTTTATAAATAAACATTAAAAGAATGAACAAGAAACTGAAAAACAAGGTTCTAAGGGTCAGGGGTAGGTGAAATGTAATAGTGTGGGTGTTGCTGGGGTTAGCATAAAAATACTTTGTGTATAATTTTTTATATAGTTTGGACTTGGATTCAAAGATTATTCAAAAAATACAATGAGTGTTCTCAGAGTTGAGTGAAGTGGAGCTGTGTTCTTTTTAGGCAACAACTGCTTTTAAGTAGAGCAACTACCTCTTGGGAGTTCACAGTCATTCTAACTGTGCTTTGGCCAGATTCTACTTTGATGACTTTAAGTTCAGTGCAAATCTAGTCTGTGTCTTTTATTGTTTGCTGCAAGACTTACTAAATTATACTCCATGACATTTTTTTTATTTGCTTGAAAAATGGAGATATAGCCAGATACTCGGGTAATTTTTTTTCATCAGCAGTGTAAAATAAATTGTTTCATTTACCTAAATTATATAATAACCAATGCAGATGTTTAAATATAAAAGTCAGAGGATTACACCTGACCCACATAAAATTTCTCACTTCTTCTCTTTACTTCTGATTACTTTATGTGAAAATTTTAGACCTCTAGAGAAATTCCCTAGATTAAAACATTATCTCCAAAACTGAAAATAAAAGTGTTCCTTTATTAAGCTTTATATGTAAATTTACTTTAATTTTAAAAGTCAAAATGCATCTGGTTTTACCTAAGGGACCTCAAAACATGTTTATAAACAAATTTACTGTTATAAAGCTCAGACAGCCTTCTGAGATCCATTTAATTGAAATTTTTTTAGCTTCAAGTGATAGCTCAGCTTCATTGATTATTAAAGAGATATACTGGAATAAACTATTCATTTTTTGAAAATGAGTTTATATTTTTCCATGGGGATTTGCATTGGTTTTATTCAAAGCCTAGGAGCACTACTAGTTTAATTGCATTTTAAATAAAGTCTTAAGTATATTTTTTGGACCATAAACATATTGTGAAGTCAAACCTCAAACCCATGGGAAGATAAGCCAGAGGCTGTGAATTCATATGAAGGCTTCTTCTTCCACCAAAAACCAAGATTAAGAAAAACAAGTTTCTGTGTGTTGCATAATACCTGTTGCAAGGTATTATGTCTCCTAGTTCACATTTTCTCTATGAATGTGACACTTTAGGCATACACAAAGATTTTTTTTAACCTACTCTCTTCCTTTGTGGAGCCAAGGCTTTTCCCCTATCCCTGAGACTGGCCCTTCAAACCCCAAGCTTTTAGATCACCTAGAAAGTTGTAGATTTCCACAGGGCAGGATCTTTAGTGTTGGTTTACATATTTAGGTTCATATTCCCATTGCCTCTGACCCTCACAAGTTTTTCTACCTTCTTGTATGCAATGCCATGTTTGGAAGTCATTAACATTTTATTCTAGGCTTTGGTGCTTTTTTAAAATAAGAGGACTTTAGGCTCTTTGGTTTGTCATTATTAGCAATTTAATTCATACTTCTTATTTAAGAAAGGCCCTATGTAAATCTTATATTCAGGCTAGTTAGCCAGGATTTCAGGTTAGCTCACTGGGACCAAAGAGAGAAAGCATTTGTGAAAGCCAACTCCAGTAGGCATCTCTCTGGTAGTATTTTACTGAATTCAATCTGTTACCTGTTGGAATACAGAATTCTTAGAAAAAGAAAGTATTTGACAGGTACAGAAGTAGCTAAGGAAAAATCAAAATTTGCCACTTATCTGTATGAAAAAATAGACATATATGCTGTCTGTAAGGTAAGACCAAGGCACAGTTGAGACCACCAAGGCAGGCAAAATTAAAGCAACATGCAGTGGTGTTCATTGCCATCTGGGTGCGGATAGGCCAAGGGCGAAAAAGCCATTGACATTGAGAGGAGGCTGTGTGCAGTTGATATAGGCGTTGTGTAGGTAGGGGAGGGGGCACTGGTTGAGAGGGTGGAAAATTTTAGAGTCCCGCGGGTGATGACCCTGGGGCTGGCTGAGGAACAGGACAGTGGTGAGAGTAGCAGGGCGGCTGCTGGCTCCCTGTTATCTCTACACTCCTGTGGATGCAGGTAGCAGTTCTGCTTGGGTGGAGGTCCAACTTGGGGCCCTGTCATCAGTTTAGTTTCTCTTCTCCTTTTTTCTCCTTTAATCTTTCTTTTTTCGGTAGCTCACTTGTCGTGTTGAGTGGTAATCAGAGAAAAATACTCACCTTTATCAAACTTTCTCTGAAATCCTTAGTTCCTTGATCTTTTAAGTGTATTTATGCAAATCACTTCTGGTCACTTATCATATGATGTTACTGAAATACACTGATTTAAAATTATTTTTCTTTCTAAACTGATTTGCCCGCCCTAATAATAGTAAATAAAGTTTTTCGTTTGTATGTCTTTATGTGTGACTAGCCCCCAGTGTATTATGTTATAGTTAAACTATAGAGAACCTGTGAGATAGACCTATTTGACAGATGAATAAGCTGAGAATTATGAAAGTTAATTGAATTTGCCCAAATTTTACAGATAGTAAATAGAGCACCAAAATTTACACCAGGTCTGATATTGACACCATGCTCTTATTAACTGTGCTCAAGCTTTAGTGTCTTGAGTTATTTTTGGTTCATAGCAAGCATGCAGAAAATCTTTACTGAATGAAAAACAGCGAGAGTTCAAATGCTGCTTAATAGAAACTTAAAAATTTAGAGTGAGCTTCCACTATTTATACATATACCAAAGTTTTACTTGGGTTATCATTGCCTCAAGGAACAAGACTGTGCCATATATCAAATTGTGTATGTGAACATTCATGCATTATATAAAATGTTGGTACATACTTATGGTAGCATAACTTTAATATCATGTATCTCAAAATCAATGTTCTGGTATTAAATACTATCTCTAACCTATCATAAGATTCTCATCACTCAGATTGGTGTGCACACACTACTGCCAGTAAGCCAAGTCTGGCCTGTGTCTGTTTTTTATAAATTAAAGTTTTATTAAAGCTTAATCATGCCTGTTGGTTTACCTATTTTCTAAAGCTGCTTTTGTGCTACAAAGGCAAAGTTGAATAATTGCAAAAGAAATTGTATAGCCTGAAAAACCTAAATTTTTATTATGTGTCCCTTTTTAAAAATACTTTGGTGACCCCTAACATAGATCGCTGTTGTTAAATCACTTGGCTAACTTTATTTTTCCTTTTTCAAGCATCTCAAAGATAAATTTAAAATTCATCCAGGAGACGCTCATTTATTTATAAATGGCCTTCAGATTAATATGGACGTTTATGATCCTTTTAGGTAAGTATTAAATTGTGCGTATAAACTAATCGCGGGAGAAGAGAGCAAGATGGCAGAATAGAGGTATCTAGTACTCACCTACCCCTCCATGGAGTAAAACCAAAGTAATGGGTATACAGCTGCATGTTGAGGTGGGTGACTGTGGAAGAACACTGGAATTCAGAAGCAGGAAGGTAGAAACCTCGTGAATGAAATCCAGAAACCTGGGATTGCAGCATAGAACAAGAAGCAGAACACCTTACCACCTGCTGCTCAGTTCTATGGTCAAGGGAAGGAAAGTGTGTCTGCAAGAGTAAAGGTAGAAAAGAGATTCTTAGTAAAAGAATAGTTGACACATAAACAGCCCCTTGTAGACATATAGCCTAAATAGGTAAAAGGCTTGTGGTCTACACGGCAATGTGGCTTTTGAGAAAGAATTAACTACACTGCCTAGTGAATGCCCATGTACTCAGGAGCCATCTTGAGAAAAGATCTCTTGTCAGTTTGGACTGCTCCAGTAATCAGAAACCCTTGCACATTCCCACCTCTGGAAACCTGCAGTAGTTCTGCACTATCTCAGCAAGTAGCAACCTCATAAGAGGCACTGGTCTCAGTGCTTGACACAGCCTACTCAGTTGCTGTACTCAAGAATGAGATGGGGCATGAGCTGTAACTCATAGGGGAGCAGGATGCTGTGCTCCAGAACCAGGAGATTGGGAAGCTGGATCTCTGAGGTGGGGCATATGATCCAGTCATGTATGATTTCACATGAGTGCCAGGTCTGGGAACCTGGATCAGAGTGGTGGACCATGTTGTTCCTCCCACCCCATTCCCAGCACAGAATTGTATGGTTTCACTACTCCCCACATTCCAGAAGAATTTTGGGGTGGTCCCAAGCAAGCTACTATAGCTCCAACTTTTTGCCCACCCTTAATATGCATAGTCTCAGAAACAGCCGGGTACTGCCTGCATACCATTCTACCTCATTCTGTTGAGCACCTCAGTTGAGAGAAATTTCAGCCAGCTTTAGCTGCAACTCACTGGCTCCATACCTGATGGGTGCTGCTACTAAAAGACTTGGAAGAAAAAAAACTCCTGGCCAGTCCCCTGGACCAGAAGCACACTGCCTGAGAAGAACCACAGAGAAACTTTCTCAGTGTAGTCCACAATCCTCCCTTGCTTATTCTCTGAGCATCTCTTTTTCTTTCTCTCTCTTTTTTTCTTTTTTGATTATTGTTTTGGGGGTGTGATGCCAGTGATTGAGCTCAGAGCCTCGTGTGGATGCTCTGCCTCTGAGCTGCACCTACAGCACAGCTGAAAAGGAGATTGCAGAGGTCCAACCACAGCTCACTCACACTTGAATACTGGTGGACACTGCAACATAAAAATCAGGAGAAGGAATGCCTCCAGCCGGGAGGTCACAGCTGGAAGGGGAAGGGGTCTGAGGTCCTGCTCTTGGGCATACATGCCCAATAGCAGCACAGAGGAATACCACAACTTTTGCTGACCCCACACCTATGGAGGTCCTCTGCCTTGGTCATAACCACATCTTGTCATTTCACATACATTGCTGACAAGACTAAATGTGAGTGCCACAGAAGGGAGCAATGATTCTACGCTCCTACCACTGTCCAGATGGAGTACCTGGATCTGTACTAGTAAGTGTCTAGTGAGAGAAAAAATGCTTTGGGCCCTTCACCATACTAGAGCACCCCATATCAGAAACCCTTGGAAGTAACAGAGCCAGTATCAGCATCAGAAATCTCCATCACCTGATTGAGGCCACCACTTCCATTGTATGAGTAAACACAGTATGCTTACTACGTACTCTGGTGTCTAATACCACATGTGCCTCTGTTATTAGTATCTCTACTGTGATCTACAGAGATAGTGCATCTCTCTAACTAATATAGCATGCATTGCGCCCATAATCATAGCTAAAGAATCTATAGAGAAGGGTGTGAAGGGAGGGCAGGGACAAGGGGAAAAAATAAGAACCAAGACCTGTCGTGTAAAGGTACAAGATCCCAATAATGAATATAACTGTACTGTATACTTAAAATGTACCAATAAACTCAATGAAGAAAAAAAAAAAGAATCTACACAGAAATTACACTACAGTGCCCACCTAAAATAAGCACAGCTTTGTACCACAAACTAGTAACTTAAGACACAGGAATACAAAAAGCCACTTACTAGAAAGTTCATACTTAAAAGTAGTAAAAGACATCCATCCCAACCACTGCACAAATTATTTATATAGAAACAAGAAATTTTAAAAGTGTAACATGATACCTCCTAAAAGTGTGTAACTTTTTAGTAACTGATTCCAAATTTGAAGTGGATGATGCTGGATAAAAAATTCAATGACTTTTTGTAAAAAGGTTAATGAACTCTAAGAAGTTATAAATAAACAGCTAAATGAATTAAGAAAGATAATGGATGATATGAATGAGCAGTTTAATAGAGATTTTGAAAACTAAATCCTGGAAATAAAAAGCTCAATAATTCTGATAAAAATTAAAATTTCATTTGAAGATCAACTGACAAGATCAAGGTTGAAAAAATAGTAAAGTTGAAGACAGATATTTTGAATTATTACGTTCACACAGCCAAATATTAAGGGAAAGCATCAAACATCTGCTTTATTGACATAGACAAAGGAGAAGAAATAACAGTTGAGGGCATAGAGAACCTAGCCAGTGAAAAAGCAAAGAAAAACATTTTTTACAAATCTCAGAAGGGTGTGAACATCTGGGTATAGAAGAAGCTTATAACCCTAAATAGATATGACCAAGGAATCAACTCTATCACAACATACTACAACTTTCAAAAATAAGGACAGAGAATATTTAAATGTTTAAGAGAAGTGCCAAAGTCACATTTAAAGGCAAGTAGACCAACACCAGATTTCTCAGCAGAAATATTAAAAGCCAGGTTATGGAATGTTTTTGAATTCCTGAAAGAACCTTTGACACAAATATACATACAATATAAAGGATAAAAAGGAAATACAAAAATAGTGTAAATAAACGACTTTTACAGTTACCTTTAAATGGTGATACAGCACAGTACAACTAAAACTTCGTTCTCACTGTTACAGTACTATATACTGTTACACCATACAGTAAGCACAAGCAACACAACTGTGATGATGTCTGGCAGACATGTGAGCTACATCTGCACTTTGTTCGCATCTACACATGTTTCTAATGTGAGGTCCATATCTGTGAAAATTCACAACTGTAATGTTCATAGATTGGAGACTTCATGTACCACAAACCGTTAGCCACCAAGGCTATTCTTCGAAGTAGGAGAAATAAACATCTTCCACTGTAAGCATAAACTAAGGAAATTATCACCATTACGCCAGCCCTACAAAAGATACTTAAAGGAATCTTACATACAAAAGTAAAAGAACAGTGATTACCTTGATGAGAATATGTAAAAGAAGTAATCGCATCAGGAAAGTAGATGTGTAAATAAAAAATGGGAAAGAATCAATGTCAATACAGTAAACCTTAAACCACGAAGATTGAATAACAGGAATAAGTGAGCAAAGAATATTCATAACCAGAAGAGAACAAAATGACAAGTCTCCTTTCAATAATAACATAAATGATCTTAATTCTTCAATTAAAAAACAGACTGGCTGAATGGATTAAAAAATAAGAACCAACAGTATTCTGCTTGCAAGAAATTTAGCTATATACTCAGACTCAAAGGGTGGAAAATGATATCCTAAGCATATGGAATCCAAAACAAGAGTAGCTATACTTACATCTGGCAAAATAAAGACAAAAAAATGGAAATAAAATGTTTGTAAATGGGGAGGGGAGGAGGGGGTGAAGGGAGGGCAGGGACAAGGGGAAAAAAAATGAGAACCAAGACCTGTCATGTAAAGGTACAAGATCCCAATGATGACTGTGACTGTACTGGATACCTAAAATGTACCAATAAACTCAATGAGGATAAAAATAAAGACAAAAAAGTAACGAGACAAAGCTACCATATAATGTCCAAGAGATCAATTCATCAAGAAGATAACAATTATTATAAATTAATATGCACGGACTGTTGGAGTTTCTGGTTTTATAAAACACTTCTGCACTCTAAAGGAAAAAATTGGCTCAAATATAAATTATTTTCAGACAAAAAATAATCATCAGTATTAAGTTATATACAGATCAGAAGGAGTTATCGGATTTACAGGGTGTTTCATTCAACAGTAAAAACAATACTTTAGCTCAGTGGCTCTGCTCCTGCCTTGCAAATACACGGTCCTGAGTTCGATCTCCGGTACCAAAATAAAACACAAAATGAAAAAAAACAAGAACAGACTAAGCCTCAATTTGACAGAAGGAAAGAATAAAGGTCAAAGTATAAATTAATGAAATAGAGACTAAAAGAACATTACTGAAGATAAATGAAACAGTGCTTTTAAAAGATAAAATAGACAAACCTTTGGCTGTGCTAACCAAGGGGAGGGGAGGGAGAGAGGAACAGAACAGATTGAGATTGCCCAGATTTTTGTTGGTGAGTTTATTTTGTTGTGTTTGAATAATAATATTCATTTTTAAAAGTATTGTTGGGTTTTCCTAGTCTACATAGTAAGATCATGTCTCAAACAGATACCTAAGAGTCAAGTCTAAACATGAAGTTCATTTATATTTCATGTGCACCTTCCACACATAGCCTAAAAGTAATTTTATACTGTATTTTTAGTGTGCCTGAGTTTTTACTGCAGCTCATCACAGAAGGTCAGGTGTGAAATTTTCTGCTTGTGACATCATGTCAGTACTCAGTTTTATTTTGGAGCATTTCAGAATTTGGACTTTTAGGAATGCTAAACTTGTTATCTATAATAAGAAATTTTACTTTGTCTTCTAAACAGATAATGAACTTTGGTGCTTTATTAGGGCTTCCTTTGTACTCAAATTTTGTGTTTTATATCTGTTTAATCTTATTTTTGTAGGTATTTTTCAAAAGAGTTACTTAAAATGTTTTTTCCCCTCTCATTTTTGGCTTGTTTAGGACTGATAATATCATCGCTGCTTTGTTAAAGAATACATTATTCATTTTCTTTTAAGTAACAGTTTTATTACCCTAAAAAAGCATGTAAGTTTATCCCAGATAACTAATTAAAACTATTTGTCTTAGATAATTTGTTTAATAATGTTTTCCTGCTATTAATAAAAATATCAGTGGAACTTCTAACACTTTGAGAAATCTACTGAATTTTAAAAGTTTTTTTTAATTTACAAATCAAAATAAATTTTGTTTCTTTTTTGACATAAAGTATTTTGGATGTGCTAAAATTAGAAGGAAAAATTATGAATGGCCTTCACAATCTTGGGATTGACCAGGAAGATATGAGCAAACTTTTAAAATTAAATTCAAATGATGAGAAATATATATTAGATATTCGACATTCTTCTATAGTGGTAAGTTCTCATGTTATTTCTTGTTCTAAAACTGTTAGCATATTTAAGGCTAGGCATAAAAGCAGATACTGTTGGCTTTAGAATAAATTTAAGCATTTTCAAAGTACTCTGAAAAGAGTATAGATTCATTTCTTCTCTACCTACAGTTTCTTGGGATAATTAATATCAATTCATTCTCAGTAACTTCTAGTTTCAAAGTTAAAAACTAGAGCAACAACAACAAAATCACTTGAAGAACAGCAATACTAAAACACTAAATATTGAGATATAAGGAATATACAGTAAGAATACCACCTTCATGTGAAGATCTTGCTAGATAACTTACATCGGCCTCCTAACATTCTGGTCTGTGTTACAGACTGAGTGAATCCTTATGAAATCTGATCACATCTCCCTCCCTTGCTTAAGCACTAAAGACTGTGAGATACTCTTTTCACTGATTTCCCTTTCTCATCTTGGAAAACACTTTCTCCTTTCTCTTTCTCATTTCTTCCTGCTCCTTTTCAGTTCAGACATTCCTACCTGAGAGAGATCTTCCTTAACATGATTTCTTACATTATTTTTTTTATAAACCACCACCTCATGTTCAGAGAAAGAGCTCAGAAGGCCCAGACGTTTTTATACTCATGCATATGATTTATTAGAAAAAAAGGAGTATACAAAACAATCAGCGGAAGTCTAGAGGAAACCAGGGCAAGCTTCCAAGAGTTCTCTCCGAGTAGAATTCTATGCAACGTGCTTAATTCAATGCATAACAATATTCTTACCTAGAATGTTCATTTGAGTTGCCAAAGGGGGTCTGTTATACAAACATACCTGCTATGCACTTTTCCTAAGCCACTGAAGTTTGGACTCTCAGAGGAAAAACAGATGCTTATTATAAATTCCCCTCTTAACCTCTAGACAACCTGCTGAAACTTCTGCAGCATGGCTCAAAGCCCTAAGTATACAGAGCACTCCTGCCATTCAGAACATTGTAAAAGCTCAATTCCCAGAAGCCAGACAAGAGACAAGAAAACAGGCCCATCTTGGGAGTGTGCAAAGTATATATACCCCAGGCCTGCTAAGTTAACCTTTTCATACACGTAGACACATTTATGTATTATGTTGTTGTTTTTGCACATACTGATTTGTACCTGTAGAGATATATTACAAAACTATAATCCTTTTGTATGCTTATCAGTTATAATTTTAGATTTACTCTGATTTTTAATTTATTTTTAGTTTTAATTGATGTATAATTATACATATTTATGGGATACAGTGTGTTAATTGGATACATATATACAATGTATAATGGTAAAATCAGGATAATTAATATTTCATTCTCCTTAAATCATTTCTTTGTATTGAAGACTTCGAATGCCCCTTTTCTATCTCCTTATAAAATATATAATAAATTGTGGTTGACTGTCATTACCCTAATATGCAGTAGAACACTTGACTTTATTTTTTCTAATTATATTTTGGTACCTGTTGTTTAACCTTTATCCTACCCTTTCTAACCTCTAGTGTCCACATTCCACTCTGTAATTTTACAGCATTAACTTTATAAGCTTCCACGTATGAGTGATGACATGTAGTATTTGTCTTTCTATGCCTGACATTTCCCTTAACATGATGTCCTCTGGTTCCATCCATGTAGCTGCAGGGTTATGACCCACAGAACTAATGGAATCATTGTCAGTTTTTTGAGGCCACTCTTCCAGTTATTGTTACTGCTTCTGTATACCTTAAGATCAAATAAATGGGCAGTTCTTTCTCTTTGGGCATAGTCAGTGACTTTTTCAGTGTTGTCTCACTAATTCTCCAAAGTACTTAGAGATACCACTCTATGGACTCACACTTTGTTGGTTTGTCCATTATTTCTTTTTCTATGTACTGTACTCTACTGTAGGTGTTGATTTGTCATCCAATTTGCTAATCTGTTTTTCTATGTTCGGTCTGAAGTTAAATTTGCCCAGTATGCTCTTAAAGTTCTTAATTATAAATGTTTTTTGCTTATCTTTATTTTTGGAGGGGATGCTGAGTATTAAACCCTAGCTTTGTGTATACTACACACAGTTTACCAGCTTGAGCTACACCCTCAGGCTTACAGTATAATATTTTTAAATTCTAAACTGTTTGGTTCTTTTTTTTAATAGATTTTAGTTCTCTTAAAATTTTCCATCTATTTGTGCTCTTTTTAAAAAATTTAAAACTTATTATTCAATCCAGACATGGTGATGCACATCCTAGCTACTTGAGAGGCAGAAACAGAAAATCATCTGAGGCCAGGAGTTTGAGACATGCCCAGGCAACACAGGGAGACATTACCTCAAAAACACAAAACAATGTACAGATAGATAGCTATGTGTCAGGTGTATACATGATATAACAATATATGCATTGCTAATAGTTATTCTAATGTCCTTGCCTAAGTCATCTTTGAGAATCTCTCATCTTTGAGTATCTCTCCTATCCTCTCCCCTCCTCTCCTCCTCCTCCACCTCCACCTCTTCTTCTACTTCCTCTTATTCTTCCCCTCTCTCTCCCTCCCTTCCTCCCTCCCTTCCTCCCTCCTCCATTTTTCTTTTCTTCTGGATTCCAGTATTGGTCCTTTTCTTTCTTTTCTTTTTGCATGCCAGTTTTTCATAAATCAGAAAATGACAAGCTGTACAAGCAAAGATTGCTAAGAGTTGTTCTAGCAGCCTATCAGGTGCTCTCTTGTCTGTTCAAGCTTGATATTTTACTTTGTGTATGGACTTGTGTTTTATATCATACACCTAGGATCTTGCCCCAAGTGAGTCTTAAATGAAAATCTATGCTATTTAGCACTTGAGCTCTATTTTGAACTCTGGGCTCTGCCTTCCCAGTACCACATTATGCCTTCCCAGTACCACGTTAATGGCTGCTGCTTGAACATATCATTTTCTCTTTTCTCCTGGCTTTTTTGAAGCCATTTATTGTGTCTAAGGTCAGCAAGTGACATTAGGAATTTGTATGGAGCTGTTTCTGGTATCTTTGCTAGAGTTTCCTTCTTTTCTGGATCCTCCTCCCATATCCTAGCATTTTTAATGCTTTCATTTTCTGTGTGAATTTCATTTCTTTGGGCTGTAATTTTGAAAGTACCTACAGGACAAAGTTGAGATGAGAATGGAACTTGCCTTTTAATTGTTCCCACTTTCAAGAATTACAATTTCTCAATTCTTTTTTTTTTGGTACTGGAGATCGAACTCAGATCTTTGCGCTTGCAAGGCAGGCGGGGGAACTGCTGAGCTAAATCCCCAGCCTTACAATTTCTCAATTCTATGTTGTTGGTTGCTGTCCCTATTTCATGCCCCTAAACAATGATTTATATATTTTCTTCAGGTTTTATAGTTGTTTCAGGAAGGAAGGTTAATCTGATATTATCTCTGTCCTGATTAAAATATTTATGGTGTTGATTTTACAATTTAACTTTTATAATCCATTTTACTTATGTGCAAGACTATAAGTAGGAACGTAGAGGCCCTTATTTACTACTAAAATTAAGAAATATTCCAGCTACTTGGGAAGCTGAGGCAGGTTGATTGCATGTTCAAGGGTAGTCTGGGCAACTGAACAAGATTCTATCAAAGTAGAAAAAAATATTTTTGGGCCAGGGATTCAGCTCAGTAGTTCCATTGCCTGCCTCACAAGTGCAAGGTACCAAAGAAAAGATCGCTGGTACCAAAAAAAAAAAAGAAAAGAAAAGACTTTTTTAAAGGGCTGGGAGTGTAGCTCAGTGAGTGGTAAAGCCCTTGTCTATCATGAATGAGGCCCTAGCTTTAATGCTCAGGAGTGGGGAAAAAGAGAGATTAAAAGGGGGCTCACTTAAGCAGTTTATTAAGAATAACTTGTATAATTTTATTTTGTGAGATGGAAAACTAAACATAACTAGTGAAAGGAATTGTTTTCAAGGTATGGTTTAATGTAAAAGGCTTTGAAATTATGACATTTACATGTTTTCCACAATTAGAAAATGTTTAAGTCTTTAATCAGAAATGTGGAGAACCTGCGTGCTTTTACTTATTGTTTGATATAGTGAAAATATGGCTTTGAAAATTAGTTATTTTAATATAGCATTCACAGATTTCTGGATTCTTTTGTAGTGGATTAATGACCTAGAAAATGACCATTTGTATGCTGCGTGGCCTGAAAGTTGCCAGGAGCTTCTGAAACCAGTATTCCCTGGAACTATATCTGTGATAAAACGTAATTTTCATAATTTAGTGAGTGTTACATTTTTAATATTATTCCTCTTTTGTAAAGAAAACATTATTTTTGGATTATCCTTTTGGTAAGTAGGCATCTAAATTATAAAGAAGTATTAGTAATGCAGCAGGCTTGAAGTGGCATGGCTGAATGATATCAAATACTAGTCATATGGCTGTAATGGTGACTCACACCTGTAATCCTGATATTTTCAGGCTGAAGTAGAAAGCTAGTGAGTATGAGACTATCCTGGCTTCAACCCTGACTACATTATGAGACCCTATCTAGAAAAAAAAATTGTGTGTGTATGGCATGACTTAAAAATCTGCTATTCATTAATTCAGCCCTCATGTAATTTTATATCAGTATTTTTACGTTTTCTTAAAAGAAAATATGTTAGAATTTTTGCTTGATATTATCAAGAAATAATGATTTAATTTTAGTTTATTTCAAGGAAAATACATAAATATCACTTTCATCCTAGTATATATGTTTATTATTGCAATATTAAATACATAAACTTACTTGAAACTTTGAAATGTAGAGAAAACACCTGAGGCTTTATTTTTTTTTATATCAGAAGTGAATATCTTATTTCCTCTAAAAATTTTGAACAGTTATGTTAAAACTGTAGTTTTGGTCATTTTTAAGGCATTAGTGCTGCTTTGTAAGTTTTGATTTCCACCATTCCAGTTATTTGTCAATCATAGTTCTGAAATTTTAAGTGGAAAAATTCACAAATTTAAAAAAATATAATTTATAACTAAAAATTTTTTCATAGAAAAGTCAAGGAAGGTTTGAAATACATTTTTTTATTTTGTGTAAATGCTTCTGAAAAGAAGATAAGTAATTTCATATTAAATTTTATGTGTAGCTGTATTTGGATGTGCAGCTTTTAGAAATACTTCATAAGTTATGAAATTCTTATATGTTCCTCAGAATTCTTTAGAATTGCTAGAAATTTCTTTAAAAATTATACCTTCAATTTTATACTTTAAACTACAGAAAATAAACTAAATTAAAAATCACATGAAAATGCTACGTTTAGTGATTAGCTATTTCTTTTCTTCTAGGTTCTGTTTATTGATCCCACTCAAGAATATACCTTGGACTTTATACAACTTGCTGAAATTTTCTATTTTCATAGTTTTCCTCTCAGGTATTTATAAATTTGTATTATTGAACTTTCACTGAAGGGAAATCCAGTGATGTTTATATTGTGCTACATAGAGTATTAATATAAAATTCAAAGAAACAGTTCACTCTCATGCCTGACAAAGCATAGCTTGTGTTATAAAATATAATATACCTTATGATAGGCTGTGTGAAACCTTTCTGACAATCTTGTATGCCTTTTGCTTGTTGAGAGAATAATCTGATCACTCTGGAAACTCATATAGGAGTACATCTCTGGATGATTATTTTAAGAGTATACTTACTCCATGTTTCCAGAAAAGCATGGTCATTTAATAATGTCACCACTTGAGAGTTGCTTTACATTTTGTAAGAATCCAACACCTATGAGAATTTCAATGAACAGACATTACAAATTTCTCATTAATACTCCCTTTTCCCTGTCTACTCACATATTCCCTCTAGTCTACTATTGTGGTTCAAGGGGTAGTTGTGACATTTGTTATTCATCTTCTTTTCCCAGAATTGGCTTTGTGTTCATTCTTAATACAGATGATGAAGTTGATGGAAGAAATGATGCTGGGGTTGCTCTTTGGAGAGCTTTCAACTATATTTCGGAAGAGCGTAGTGTATCTGAAGCATTCATTTCCATTGTACATGTAAGTTTATGCAGTAGATAAAATTTCTTTAAAATGTGCTATTGAATTACTAATTTGTTATATTTCAAATTTATGGGAACTAATAATGATAATTTTGATTCCTGCACCTTATGACTGAAGTATATAATATTGACCCAACTTTATGAATTAAATAACTGAGACTGCCAAAGTACATCACTTAAGTTTATTCAGCCCTTAATGAATTTTAAATTGTATATTTATGCTTGAAGGAAAATGTAATAGAAAATTACTGTTTCAGGAAGAATTCTTGAATTTGGTCCTGAATAAAATCATTATTAAAAAAGATTGTTGCAAATATGAATATTCAACCAAGTATGGTCAGTGCACATCTGTAATCCCAGCATTCAGGAAGCTGAGGCAGGAGGATCTCTATGAGTTTGAGGCCACCCTGGGCTATATAGTGAGTTCAAGCCCAGCCTCAACTATGTGGTAAGATCCTGTCTCAAAAGAAAACAAACCAAAAAACATCAGTATTCCAGTTAACAAAGTATATACATACCTCCTTGGACTTTCAGAGAAGGATATCTCTTAAGAAAAACAAATTGTGCGAAAGAGAGAAGATTGATAGAGGCTGACAGATTGTATAAGAAAAGCCAGAAATTAGTAAGAACCTTGAGGAAGAATATAAACTATAGAATAAGCATATGTATTCATGACATAGGAAGATTATTTCAAAATAGAGCTTTCAAAACTCTTTTCGCTAATTGTGAAAAAGTAAATGTTACCTTTTTTTGCAGTGGGTTTGCTGTGAAAGCACAAGTGTAGTGAAAACTGAAGAGGCACCTCAACACTCAACAACTAGACCACACACTGAGAGGTCCTACAGGAGACTTTATTGGGGAGGCAGGTCAGGGAGAGAGGAGAGAGGGAGGAAGAGGAAGGGAGAACAAAGAAAGGAAGGTCCTTTTAGTGGTTTTGGGCTGGGCTATTGCTTATTTATGAGGAGTGGCCTTTTATGGACTCAGTCCTGCAGAAACTTAGGTTTAACTTCTCTGGACCATTGTGGCTTTGGAGGGAGGGAAGCTAAAGATAAGAGCATGAGGTCATTCTAAGAGGCATGAAGAACCAGGAAAATGCAGCCTGTGATGGCAGCGTTAGGTCCCTAATAAAAACCACCACTAGATCAAAGCCAACATGGAAAAGGAAAAGACTTGTATCAATATCGTCATCATCGGATGTGGGGATTTGGGCAAGTCCAGCACTACCTGCCATCTGATCTACAAATGTGATGACATCAACAAGAAAATCATTGAAAAATTTGAAAGGAGGCTGCTGAGGTGGGGAAGGATTCTTTCAAGTATGCCTGGTTCTTGGATTACTGAAAGCTGAGCATGAGTGTGGTATCACCATTGACATCTCTCTGTGGAAATTTGAGACCAGCAAGTATTATGTGACTATCACTGCTGCTCCAGGACACAAAGACTTTATCAAAAACATGATTACAGGCACATCTCAGGTTGACTGTGCTGTTCTGATTGTTGCTGCTGGTGTTGGTGAGTTCAAAGCTGGTATCTCCAAGAATGGGCAGACCGGTGAGCATGCCCTACTGCTGGCTTACATGCTGGGTGTGAAACAACTCATAGGTTAGTGTTAACAAAATGAATTCCACTGAGACACCCTATAGCCAGAAGAGATATGAGGAAACTGTTAAGGAAGTCAGCATCTACATTAAGAAAATTGGCTACAACTCTGACACAGTAGCTTTTGTGCCAATTTCTTGTTGGAATGGTGACAACATGCTACAGCCAAGTGCTAACGTGCCTTGCTTGGTTCAAGGGATGGAAGGTTGCTAGAGAACACTTCAGTAGCAAAAACCTAGGAAATGTCACAATGTAAGATAACTTCTGCCCTTTGCTCTGTTTAGTTCAAAATTAACAGGCATCAGAGGCAGCTAGTCTCCCTAAAACATTTTGTAAATGAAAAGAACCATTGTTAGCTTTGCTGACCAAACACACCCGCTTCCCCTTGGCTAGAATGGATACCTAAATGAATTTTAAAGGTAACCTCCCCTACCAAAGAATCACATCTGGGTTGAAATTCAACTGCCTAGCCACCATGTTTTAATATCAGCAATGAGAATTGTGAAAATGCAGTGTAACCAACTGAATGAGATCAAGGCTGTAAAACCCTATAAAAGGAGTTGTAATCCAGTGGGGAAATCGATCAGGGCACCCCCATTAGGTGTTATCAATCCCTATCAATGGAGTAAACTTTTATTGTTTTACTTCCATTCTGCTGCCTCTCTGTGTGTCACTTACCAATTCCTTCCTTAACAAGGTCACTCATAAAGATGGCAGTGCCAGTGGAACCACACTGCTTGAGCTTTGGATTGCATCCTGCCACCCACTCACCCACCTGACAAGCCTTTGCAACTGCCCCTCCAGGATGTCTACAAAATCAGTGGTATTGCTGCCGTCCCTGTTGGCAGAGTGGAGACAGGTGTTATGAGACCTGGCATAGTCGTCACCTGCGCACCTGTCAGTGTCACAACTGAAGTAAATCTGTTGAAATACACCATGAGGCTTTGAGTGAAGCTTTTCCTGGTGACAGTGTGGGCTTCAATGTCAAGAATGTGTCTGTCAAGGATGTTCATTGGGGCAATGTTGCTTGTGACAGCAAAAATGACCCACCAATGGGAGCATCTGGTTTCACTGCTCAGGTCATTATCCTGAACCATCCGGGCTAGATCAGTGCTGGCTATAATCCTGTACTGGATTGCCTCACAGCTCACATTGCTTCCAAGTTTGCTGAGCTGAAAGAGATTGATCACCAGTCTGATAAGAAGCTGGAAGATGGCCCCAAATTCTTGAAATCTGGTGATGCTGTCATTGTTGACATGGTTCCAGGCAAGCCGATGTGTCGAGAGCTTCTGACTATCCACCTCTGGGTCATTTTGCTGTTCATGATGTGAGATAGACAGTTACTGTGGGTGTCATCAAAGCAGTGGACAAGAAGGCTGCTGGAGCTGACAAGGCCGCCAAGTCTGCCCAGAAAGTTCAGAAGGCTACATGAATATTACCCTAACACCTGCCACCCTCCCACCCCCATCTTAATCAGTGGTGGAAGACTGGTTTCAGAACTGTTTCTCTCAGTTGGCCATTTAATTTAATAATAAAAGACTGGTTAATAATAACAATGCATCATAAAACCTTCAGGAGGAAAGGAGAATGTTTTGTGGACTGTTTGTTTTCTTTTTGTGTGTGGCAGTTTTAAGTTATTAGTTTTTTTAAAAATCACTTTTTAATGGAAACAACTGGACCAATACTCTGTCACAGAATTTTGAGATCCATCAAAACCAAGTTTAATGAGGAAAAAAAAATAAGGTAAATGTTAGAGCTATACCATCATTATTATTAAGAAAAATCAAGTTATAGCTTAAAAATAACTCTAATTTTTATATTCATGGGCCATCCAGTATTCATGGGTCAACCAGTATTATAACAAGCATTGACTCTTCAGAGAAGGAAATTTCCAAAACTTAATTTTTTATCCTGCTTCTATAGCTTCTAAGAAAGTAACTACCTCATTAATTTGCTGTCATAGATTATAGAAACTATCTACAATTCAGTTATTTGGGGTACAGTTTGTAAGACCACCAGGGATCTTAACCAAACCTTCCAAAGAACTACCAATCAGCAACAGCGAGACAACACCCCAGAGGAACTGAACAAGCCACACCGGACAGAGAATGGTGTCGAACAGACCTTCATTAGTCTGGCCAGATCGCCCCTCCAAGCAACAACTTGGAGAGCGCCCCTAGCCCAGAATACAAGAGGGTTTTATACGTTTTTAGATGGGGTGGAAGCAAGCAAAAACAGAAGCAAAGTGAGGCGGTTAGAAGAAAGGAACAGAACATATAGTTTGCACAGGATGCGGCTGTGACAAAGTACAGAGCTGTGGTTAATGTCTATAGGAATGCCATTTTCATGACAAAGTGTAATCTTTACGGGAATCATCTATCTCTTCTACCTGGAATGCTCACGCTTGGTGTTTGTTCCTGACCATTTTCCTGAGTAAATGTTGCCTTTTTAGTGACGTTGGGCCTTTCTTGTTCTCTCAAGAGGGCGAGCTTAACCTTTAACTAGGATGGTGTCCATGCTGGCACTTTAGGCCTGACACAGTTTGTTGTGTAAAATAATACCATATAGTATGTGTTAGTATTTTATCTAAACTTACTAGTTTTAGTAATTTACTAATATAAGACTTTATAAAGGACTTAGTTGGTTGACTTAGATCTTTTATTGTCTATTTTATTGTAAACTAATTCTTACAGTGTTCAAAACAGAGAAACTGGAAGGTGTCAAGAAGTTATCTTTCCTTAAATTATCTTAATTACTAATATTGCATTGTTATTCCCTAAGCATTTTGTATCCTATATGCATTTGCATGTGATGACAGACCAGATGGAGGCTCTAAAACTAAGGAATACAGAAGTGCCATAGTAATAAATGGGAATGGACATTAGACACTGGTGGCTGCACAGCCAGCCTGCCACCCAGTGCATATGTGACCTGACACCTTTCATGTAAAAAATCACTTTTGATAACTTAAAAACTTGTATGAAAAACAAAATTTTAAAACTTTTAGAATTTCTTGGATGAGACTTAAAAGACCCTAAGTCTGAAGGGGAAAATTGGCAAATTTAGGTATACTACGGATGAAAACCAGTGTTCATAAAAAAATGTAATGAAGAAGTTGGGGAATGTAAGTTCTAGACAAGAGCAATATTTTTAATATATGCAATCAATTACATATTTATATTTCCTGAGATCATACAGATTTCATGAATCAAAATGAAAAATGTAAGCAACCTAAGGAATGGGATACACAAAATATTTTTAATAAAAGGTTATGTTAATGACAATTTCCTGAAATTAGGGGTAGTATTTATTGTTACTAATGGTAAATAAATAAGATAATCTTCTTAGACATTGGAAAGATGTAAGTAAAGAATACTGTATGAGATTATTTTACACTCTGTAATTTAGTAGTCATTAAGAAACTTGGTAATATGTGTTAATGAAAATGTAGAGTAATAAGATGCCTTCACACCACTACCCTGCCTATAACAATATAAATTGGCACAACCACATTGAAAATATATCCAACTTTGAGGTTAAATTTGTATATTAACCCATGCACACACCAACACACCCTAAGAAAACTTCTTATACAATTGTTCCTTAGGAGAGAGTTCTTAGAATCATTCTAGAGCAAACTGTGAATGATCTAAATATATATCCTTAGGGGGGGTTGGAGTATTTACATAGTGGAATACAATATACAAGCATGATTCTATCAGAAACATAATGAAGTCATAGAAGACTTAACACATTGCCATATACTTGCTCAAAAGCAAACAAAACTAGCATAATGCATGATATATATTTATATAAAACTCTAGAATTTGAAAGGAAATGGTAAATTCATTAAAGAAAATGGTTGCATAGAAGGTGTAAGGAAATGGAATTAGGATTGTACTTAGTATGGTTGATTTTTCCATTTCTCATGTTAAATTGTTTTTGTTGGAAATTGTTCATTTTTATCATTTATGACCCACATACATTACATGTCTTCTTTGCTTACCAAGTTACATAAGAATTTATTAAATGCATTAAAAATTGAATTATTATGTTTGAATACCTTATATAAGACATTCTGGTTATATCATTTTATAGGAGTAACTGGTATTTTAGTATATGTGCTGCCGAAGCAAGCACAAGGAGTATCTAGTTTTTTTGTGGGTTTTTTTTTTGCGGGGGGGTACCAGGGATTGAACTCAGGACCTTGTGCTTGAGAAGCAGGCACCAGAACCACTGAATAAACTCTTAAGTGGTAAAGAAAGTTAAACATTTTTTAAGAATTGCAGTGTCTAGACTGATCAAAACAAATATAAAAAATGTATTATATTTTTAAGGCTTTAGAAAACAGTAATTGTAAAACATTAGACGATAATATTGGGTTAAAATTATTGTATGTAGAGTATATATATTTAGTATGCTTAGCTCTTACAGGCTATATAATATGTTCTTTATTTTACAAATGTATGTTAAGAGAAAAAAACTAATTACTATAAGAAGAAAAATTTTATTTTCTTTGTTTCCACAGATGTACCAAAAAGTAAAGAAGCAAAATATACTCACTGTGGAAAATGTGAAGAGTATTCTCCAAAATGAATTTCCTCATGCTGATATTTGGGATATTTTGGGAGTTCATTCCATATATGATAATGAAAGAAAAGTAAGTTGCAGTACTGAGTACAGTAAAATAAGCCAGGCACAGAAAGACAAATATCACATGACCTCACTCACATGTAGACTCTTATAAAGTACAACTCATGGAAATAGAGAGTGAAATGACAATCACCAAAGGCTAAGGTCTGGGAGGCCTGGGAAGATTTTAGTGAAAAAATAGGAAATTCAGTTAGACCAGAGGAGTAAGTTCTCAAAAGGTTGATTGTCCATTGTGAAAACTATAATTAAAATATATTGTAAGGGCTCTCAGAACAGAAAAATTATAGGTGAGGTAGTACTAGTATTAATTAGCTTCATTTAGCCATTCTGCAATGTATGCATATGTCGAAACACCATAGATGTATACCATTCTACTTGTAAATTTCTAGAAAGGTGAATAATTAAAGGAAGGACCCCAAAGATTTCAAAAGAACAGAAAAAACAAAAGCAACAATACAGAATACCAAAAAGAAAGAAAAATAGCACAAAGAATTGCCAAAATTGATAACCACGACTCTTCTTTGGAAGGGACCACCAGATATGCAACACACTGAATAAGTGGTTCACAGTAGGGACTAAGGATAAGGAATAGTCTTCTGAATAAGTTGTATTTAAGCTGAGTCTACTAAGAAAGTGGTAAGAGGAACATTCCAGAGAGAAAAATGTCAGAAGGTCTTAAATTGGGAGGGAACTAAGGAGCTAGTGTTGCTGCTATGTAGATTGCAAGCAGGTGTTGTAGAGGTAAGTTCAGAAGATGAGGTTCAAGAGATAGACAAAGGGTATGGTTGCACAGCATCTTATAAATGATACTCCCTTAGTATCCATGGGGGATTGGTTTCAGAATTCCCTGTGGACCCCAAAATCCATGAAATCCAAGTCCCTTCTTTAAAATGGCATAGTATTACAAATAACAGACTCACTGAGAGAGAAATTGGGGAAACAATTCCTTTCACAATAGCATCCAAAAAATTTAATATCTAGAAATCAGTCTAACAAAGGAAGTAAAATACCTCTGTCTTGAAAACTAAAGCGCTGTGAAAAAAAGAGATTGAAGAGGATATCAGAAAATGGAAAGACATCCCTTGGTCCTGGGTAGGAAGAACCAATATAGTGAAAATGGCCATACTTCCAAAACTGCTGTACAAATTCAATGCAATCTCTATTAAGATCCCAACAGTATATTTCACAGAACTAGAGAAAATAATCCAAAAATTCATTTGGAGCCAGAAAAGACCTAGAATAGCAAAAGCCATTCTAGGCAACAGTGACATGATGGAGTATCACAATCCCCAACTTGAAACTATACTACAAAGCCACTGTGATAAAAGCAGCATGGTACTGGCAAGGAAACAGACCCAAGGATCGGTGAAATAGATTAGAAGGTGCAGACAAAACTCCAGACATACTCAGCCACCTCATCTTTGACAAAGGAGCCAACTACCCTCACCGGAGGAAAGATAGCATCTTTAATAAGTGCTGCTGGAAAAACTGGATTTCAATCTGCCAAAGATTTAAACTAGACCCCTGTCTTTCACCATGCACTAAACTAAAATCAAAGTGGATCAAAGATCTAAATATTAAAACAGAAACACTAGACTTGCTGGAAGATAGTTTAGATCAAACTCTTGAAGACATTGGCATAGGAAAAGACTTCATGAACAAAACCTCAGTAGTATGGGAATTAGCACAGAGAATCAACAACTGGGATCTCATCTTATTAAAAAGCTTCTGTGTGGGCTTACTGATTTAGCTCAGTGGTGCCAACCCCTGCCTCGCAAGTGCAAGGACCCTAGTTCAATCCCAGGTACCAAAAAAATAAAATTAAAAAAAGCTTCTGCGCTGCAAGAGAAATCACCAACAGAGCTGAGACAACCTAGAATGTGGGGAAAACATTTTACCCACTACTCCTAAGAGTAGTATCTAGAATATGTAAAAACTCAAAAAAATCAGACCTCCCAAATTTAAAAACCTAATCCAAAAATAGGTATCTGAAATGAACAGACATTTCTCAAAGAAGTAAAAGCAACAAATAAACATGAAAAAATGTTCAACATCACTGGTTGTTCAAGAGATGCAGATGAAAACAACACAGATTCCATCTCAAGAAAGAGCTGCTGATATCAGGAAATCAATAACAAATGCTGGCAGGGTTGTGGGAGATAGGAACCCTTCTCCATTGTTGGTGGAAGTGCAGACTGGTGCAACCACTGTTTTAATCAATTTGGAGATACCTCAAAAAACTAGGATTACAGATCCCATTTGACCCAACTATTCCTCTGCCTGGTATCTTTCCAAAAGATTTAAAAGAATCATATCACAGTGATATATGCTCATCCATGTTTATAGTGGCACAGATTGTAATAGCTAAAACTTGGAAACAACCCAGTTGCCCTTTAACTGGTGACTGGATGAAGAAGATGTGGTTTTTCTAAAATGGAGTACTACTCAGCCATAAAGAATGAGAAATTAGAGTCATTCATAGGAAAATGGATACATATTGAGGTTATACTTCTAAGTGAAATAAATATGTCACATGTGCATAAATACCAAATAGTTTCTCTGGTGTGAGAAACTGAAAGTACAAATAAGGACAAAAAAGTATAATTGATAATATGAAACAGAGAAGATCTAAAGGGGAGGAGGAAATGGGAGGAGTAGAGGAAAGGAAAAAATATGAGAAAAGGAAAAAACAGAAACAAAGTCGTTGTAAATAGGAAGCAGTGGGAGGGTTGAAGGGAGGGCAGGGGAATAGGGAAAACATAAGAACCAAGATATATCATGTAAAGGTATAAATTCACAATGATGAATGTCATATTGTGTACCTAAAATGTACCAGCAAACAATGAAAAGATGGCATAGTATTTATATATGACACACTACTAATACTAAATATAATTAAATGCTGTATAAATAGTTGTTATACTGTATTGCTTAGGGAATAATGACAAGGGAAATCTCTACGTATTCAGTACAAGGACAGTTTTCTCAAATATTTTCAGTCCACAGTTGATTGAACCCACATGTGCAAGATCTGTAGGTACAGAGGCCCACCTCTATTCATTGTAAACTCAAAACAATACAAGACCTTAGGAACTATGAAAAACCTGAAAAATTCTACAGGTAAAGTGATATTGGCATCCATTTTCTTTTAGAAAACATTCTCCATTGTTGAGAATAGATTGTGGTGAAGAGAGGGAGGGAGGAGGGGGAAAAGATGTGTGTGTGTGTGTGTGTGTGTGTGTGTGTGTGTGTGTGTGTGTGTGTGTGTATGGCTGTGAGGAACTTAAGATGTGTGTGTGTGTGTGTGTGTGTGTGTGTGTGTGTGTGTGTGTGTGTGTGTGTGTAGGGCTTTGGTAGAAGTAAAAGCAAAAGAAAATGGACACATTAGATTTATTTAGCCATACTGTTGAGGGCCTTCTGCAAGACTGGATAGGGCAGAGGGGAAATGAAAAATTGTCAAGGAAGATGACTCCCAAGGTCCACTTGAACAGCTGACTGGGGAGAGGCACATAACCATTGCCAAAATGGAAAAGGATGGAAAATAAGACTGGGAAATAAGATGAGAATGTGCCTGTGAGACTTCCAGAGGAGATGTGAAATAAGAATTTAAATACATTTGTCTGTAGCTCAGAGGAGAAATGTGGGCTAAAAGCATGAAATTCTGTCATTAGATTACTTGTGTTAATTAAAGCTTTTGAAATAGATACACTGTAATTGGAATTCAATGAGTAGAAGAAAAAAGAACTGTATTTCTGGCAGGGACATTTTTTTTCTTGAGGTCTGAACTCATGTATTCAGCTGCCTAGAGGGTTGCTCAGAAACATTCTAAAACCAAAAGTATCTCAAACCAAGTATGTCATCTTCCTTGTTACCCCCAACCTACTTTTCTTTTTCTCCCCCGCCCCCCCGTTATAGCATGGCCATTCATCCAGACCACCTATGCTGACAGTCTGGTAGTCATCCTAAACTACTTTTCTTTCACACCCTCCCAGACAGTAGATCATTAAGTTATCACTTCTGTTAAACAGTTCAAATGATGCCTTATTCTCTTAGCCCTTTGCCACTAATTTTTATTCTGGTTTTTCCATATTACTGCAGTGCAGTAGCTTCCAACCTAGTGTCCTTAATATATGTTCCTTCTCAAATGGCTGTTGCATTCTTTTCAAAATAGGCAAATGTGACCATACTACAGTATTTGACAAGAACCCTTTTGGTAGATAGAATTGACCATAAGCTCTTTTGGTATCACTGGATACTGTATCCACTGTTTTTGTTTTGTTTTTTCCAGTCAGGTAACCACTGAGCTAAATCCCCAGCCCTCCACTGTTTTTAATGTATCCATCTCTCCTTCTATTAAAAAGTAAGTTTCTTTGGGATAGAGATTATGTATCATTTTCATATATTCATAAGCCTGATACCTAATAGTAACTGACATAATGTGGTACTACAGCTAAAAGTCCAGACTCTTGGTCAGACAGATTTGACCACAAATTCTGCTTCTAAAATATAGTGGTTATGTGGCATTGGTAGTGACTTAATCTCTGAATCTGTTTCATCCTGAAATGTTTGCTACAGGTTTGAGTTTCTCTAATTCTTCTAAATAGTTCTTGTAAATACTTCTAAATTCTGAAACACTCTGTTCCTCTTTCAGATAGGGTGATATTTAGCCTATGTTGGCTTCTTTGGATACTTGTGAAAATGTTAGCTATAATAATCATAATCATAATACTTAGTATTGAATATCAAATGAGTTATTTAGTGACAGTCACTCATAACATAACATCCAGATGTTGACCTGTACCATCTCCCACTAGTCCTGTATCTGACAGCTCTCCCCTATATATATCACACCCTACATTTACTTTCTATTGCCTGAATTTGTCATTATGTCACTTCCCTTCTAGTTTTTGCTATGCTGTCTCTTCACTTGAAATATCTTTCTTCGCTTTATCTTCCTGGCAAGTTTTTGTTCATCCTTTAAGGCTTTTGGTGTCATTCTCTAACAGAAGCTTCTCTGATTCCTTCCTCTTTATTCTCAAGCCTTGTTAGATGCTTCTTTCCTGATCCCCCTGGGAACCTTGTACATCCCTGAATTTTGCTTCTATGTATGTGAACAGTTAGATGGAAGACTTTTGTTGTATATTCACTGGATCTAGCCTAATACTAGTGGTATGATTTAGTACCTGCTTATAAAATAAAAGAATACAGTCTCCGATGCAGGTAAATAAGTCTCCGATGCAGGTAAATGTTTTGCTTTTAAGTAAATGTCATACTTTGTATCAAGGGTCAGTAAGCCCACCCCCTCCTTATTTTTGTAAACAAAAGTATTTGGGGATATAGGTGAGCTTATTCATTCATGTTGTTTGTGACTGCTTTTGCATTATGACATTAGAAGTGAGTATTTTCTGCAGAGACTGGATGGCTCACAGAGCGTAAAATATTTATAGTCTGACCCTTTACAGAAATAGTTTCCTGACTCCTGCTCTGTGTAGGTAAATTACCTTCCTTTACATACTGTTTGGAAAGGACAGATAAAATTAGCAAAATCGACATTTTTTAAAAATGATATCCAAAAATGTAACAGTGTCCCTTTCTTTTTCTTGTATATTTCTTTTCTTTTCTTTGACACTCTGATATTTTTTAATGAATAGGCAGGAGCAAGCTTTTATAAAATGTCTGGTCTGGGTCCATTGCCTCAAGTTCTGTATAATGGTGAACCCTTTAACCATGAAAAGATAAATAGTGAGGAACTGGACACTGCTGTTCTTCACAGAATGGAGGCTACGTCTTTGTATTTACAAAGAGATGTTCTTATGGTAGGTAAGCTTTTATGAGCAAATACATAAAAATAAGTGTTACTGTCTTTAAAAATTTTTGTGTAAAAATTTTTATTCTGATTGATTTAAAAATTAATATTTAAACTCATGTATATCTAAAAATAATTTTTAAATTGATTTTTACAAGAAAATTTATCAGAGTAATTGCAAATTGCATGTTTATTGACTTATTTTAGATTAATCTTAAAATGATTATTATTTTAAAATATTCCTGTGAATTGCCAATATTATTTAAATCATATTTTTATTATTTTAGGGCACATTAAATGATCATATGAATGCAGTTGATTTCCTAATGGATAGAAATAATGTTGTACCCCGTATAAATTCTTTTATTTTGCACACTAAACATCAGTACCTTAATTTAATATCTTCATCAGGTAAAATAACCCTCCATATAATGTTCTAAAAACATTGATTTTATGCTTCATTAATTCATTGTTAAACATTGACTATGAAATTTTTCAGTATCGGCTGATATTGGAGATTTCTCTACTTTCTCTTTCCTGGAGTCACAAGATAAGAGTGCTGTGATTGCAAAGAACATGCATTATTTAACCCATGAAGGTAATAACATATTTTATTTTCTGGAATTTATTCGTAAGGTTATAAAAATTTAATATTAGTAAACTGATGCATAATTATGTTGGTATTTTTTACTCGGCTACTGAGTTTAACTTTGTTATTATTTATAAACTTTTGGGCTTTAAGAATTGTACTGGGAAAATTAGGCCTCTTGTCTCAACTAATCATACATGCAAGGATGTCACCTTGAGTCATTGCTTTTTTAAAAAGCTCTTACATTTTCATCTTTTAAGAAAGTGATAAATACTCTAACAAGTCTAGTAAACTGATGAATAATGATGAATTATGGATGGATAAAAGTATAATTCCCAAATCATCAGAGACAGTACTAGTTTTTCTGTATTATGATTAAACAAACTTTTGCTTAGATTGGGAGTCACAACCAAATGAGGAGAGACCAAGACAGTAATCTATTTGGAAATAAAGATTTAGCCTAACAAGTCTGCAGTAAGATGACAGATGTTTTAGGCCACAAATAACTATTCAGGGAGGTGAGTATAATTAGAATTTGAGTAGTTTGTCTTGCTTCTCTTTGTTTAGCCTTCTTTTTTATAGACACAAAAAAATGAAAGCCTGTAAGATTTTCATTCTTCTTTATGACTGAATAAAAATCATGTCATTTGCAGAAAATAGATTTTATCTTGAGGCCATAATACTAAGTGAAATAAGTTAGGCACAGAGAGTTAATATTGCAAGGTGTCCCTTGTAATATAAATAAATAAATGAGTAAAATAAAGGCGATATGGTAGGAAGCAGGGAGGCAGACTTTTTGGAGATGAGGAAGGGGGTCCTGGGAAAGGTGGATGGTAGTGAGGGGATCAAGGGATCAAAGATGATCATAATATACTTAGTTTATATAAAATCAATATATATTTCCCAAAGTGAATATAATTACCATGTCTTGCATATAAGTAATCAATGAATAAATAATAAACGATAAAATGGCAATTTTAATCAGTATATAAGCAGAAACTTTCTAACAATGAGAGTGATCTAAAGACAGAATGAACTACGTTACAAGTATTAAACTTTATGATAGAGATTTAATATAAAGGGCACATGTTCACTTTTTAAGCCTTTAAATCAGATGGGCTCTGGATTTGTAACAGATCTGTCATTTATGTTCATAAAGAATATGTCAGGAAGAACTACAACAAATAATAAAATACAACAGTTTCACCCTCTGGTAGGCTACAGTTTTTGTTGTTGTTGTTGTTTTTGGTACTGGGGATCGAACTCCAGCCCTAGAGCTTGAGAGGCAGGTGCCAGAACCACTTGAGCTAAAGTCCCAGGCCATGGCTACAGTTTTGAATGTGTCAGGCAAAGGCAAAAGGACAGAGATCAACTTCTGGATTGTATTTCAAAAATGCATCTTATTTTTCAGACTAAGCATATAACTGGTACCCTTTGATTAATTCTCTTGCAAATTAGAGGCATATTAACTGGGAATCTTACTTCCTTTTACTTGTATTTATATTAATGTATGAAGAAATAATATAGTTTTGACAATTTACTTAGCACTCTGAAATATTTCTCAATTTACTATTGTACAATAGTGAAAGCAATAACATTAAAGCAGAATCAAAATTCTGTTACCTTCTTAGAAAAGAATGTTACTACTGCCTTACTCTGAAGTTGCTTCTGAAGGTTGCAGTGAAATAAATGCTATCCTTCTTTTTGTTACCTTTCTCTTGTTTCTAGAGCCAGTCTTTGTATAGTTAGGTAGTACTACCTATATAATAATTGTAGTTTCAGTTCTGTTCAGTAGTAAGTTTTAGGTACAACAGATTTTTAATAATTATTTTAACTTGATTGCCTGATCTAAAGAACCAGTTTTCTCTAGGAATTTAGCTCAGTGGCACTATGCTTGCCTTGCAAGTGCAAGGTCTTGAGTTCGATCCCCAATACAAAAAAAAAACAAAAAACCAATTTTCCAGTAGATTTTAATGATATGGCCAGGCAAGTATCATTCAGGTATTCTATACTGAGCTGGATGAAATTATACCTATTTAACTGTGATACTAAAATTAAAAATAGTTCCTTCATTTAGATTCCAAATTTCCAGTTTTTGGTTTTTGGGGGGTTTTTTTTGTTTGTTTATTTTTGGGGTTTTTTTTTTGGTACTGGGGGATCAAACTTAGGACCTTGTTTCAGATGTTTTTGAAAAGAGAATTGTTAATAGAAAAAAAAATGACATAAATTAGACCAAGTTAGTGATAGCCAGAAATTAATATATAAGGTAATAAAAATACTTTTCTATATTTCTGTACCTACTAATAAGTGTGATTACATCTCCTTTTCTGTATGTATGACTTACAGATACAACTTTGTCACAAATATATCTACAAGGCAATTTTATTTATCAATACTAGACCATAAAAACCATAATAGAAGCTTCTCTACTGGTAAAAGTAGAGACACAAATGTGTCCTGTAGGGACTGTTCTTTCTTTATAGTATGGACCTTATATAAAGGTTATACAATTTGCTACTCCTCTAGCATTTTTATATGTATATACATAGGTGCAGTACATACATAATTTTAACAATATTTACTCATTTTTAGAAATATTTTATTAACAGAAAATGTTCTCTTATTTTTAATTTTAGAAAGAATTAACTTTACTTATTCGAAACTTACAGATAATAATATAATTTCTACAGTCACTCTGTGGATTATTGCTGATTTTGACACATCATCTGGGAGAAAACTGCTTTTTAATGCATTAACACACATGGTGAGTTGATATTCTTCCAACAAAATTTTAATTGGTTGTAGTTTCAAGAAAACGGTATGAACATTAAACATGCATTAAACCTTAATTTCCCTCCATGTTAACATTTTAATTGAATAGAACATAGTGCTAAGAAGACTTAGGTCAGGGATTCACATTCAGTCTCCATGTGAAATAAGCATCTTAACCTAGAAAAAGAAAAACCTACCTGTTGTGTGTGACTCATGATCTGTATATTCTCTGGTGGCCCTTATGATCATACACATGTCTAAAAGTGGTTGCAAGTAAGCTGTTACAAATTATTTTAGAACCTACCACTACCTCAGTTACCCCACGACTACTTATTACCAACAATACCCAGTAATGGCAATTTTTGGTCACATAGTTAGGCAACATTTTCTCTCCCCAATTAAAAAAAACTAAGTAAATTCATCTTTTCAATGATATTTTAAGCTTTAAGTCAACTTTAGTTTTATTAGATAATTATAAGCCAAGATACTTTAGGAGGACTCATTTTTATAGTTGAAAGTACTCTTTAATAACATTCTGTATGAATTCTTTATATATTCTAGCTAATAGTCCTTTGTCTGAGGAGCAGCTGGTAAAAATTTTTTCCCACATTGTAGGTTGTCTCTTAGTTCTGTTGATGGTTTCTTTTGCAGTGCAGAATCTTTTTAATAAGATGAGATCCCAGTTGTTGATTCTTTCTGCTAGTTCCCATGCTACTGAGGATTTGTTCATAAAGTCTTTTCCTATGCCAATGTCTTCCAGAGTTCTGCCTAACTTATCTTCCAGCAAGTTTAGTGTTTCTGTTTTAATATTTAGATCTTTCATCCACTTGGATTTTAATGTCTAAAATGTTTTTTAAAAACCTACAGAACAGAAACCACAATAATTTATCAGACTGTTTTTGTATTAGCTAAGTGTAATTGTATTGCCATATAGGAAATTATGCTTCATAAGTCATGATTTAAAGCAGTGAACATTTATTTTCTCACTTGTTTCTGAGGTTCACAAAATCAGGAGCAACTAATTGGTTCTTGCTTAGGGCCTCTTCTGAGGGTGCAGTCAGATGATGACTTCAGCGCTCATCATCTAAAGGTTAAGCTTCTAAAATGGCTCAGTTACCTGCCTCTTGGCAGGTGCATTCAATTTTTCACTGGCTGTTAGCAGAGCACTTCATTCACTTGCCACATAGACTTTCTCTTAGTATTAAAATCTCACAGCATGGCAGCTGGCTTTCTCCAGAATGAGTGATAAAGAAATAAAGATAGAGTGAACCACAGTGTAATTTATAAATTAGCTGTATTTCCCGTTTGTTAAACAGATCACCTCTCTTCAATGGGTAAAAGGAGCTATATGCAGTTTGAATACCTGGAAGGTACGGATCATTGTGGCCATCCTGAAGGCTGGCTACTAGATTAGAAATTAATAATATATTTTAAATGAAACATTAAAACATTTGTAAGTAACATCTGAACAATGACTTCAAGGAATTAAAGGAACTACTCATTCAGAGATACTGAAGAAAAATATCTTCTCATCAGAGAAACGTTCCAATGCAGAGGATTTAAGGCTAAAGCATACTTGTTCTAGGAAGACAGCAGCATGTGTGGCTAGACCACAGTGGACAAGAAGAGTAATAGAATTTACATATCAGCCTGCATTTTCTCCAGCATATTATCAGTTAATATGTAATTTTTGACAGATACATTTTTTTCTATATCAGAACAGTCAGACTTCTAAAACTTCTTCCATCATTTCAAACTCAAGACTTATAAATCTATTAAGAGCTACCTTTATATGTGTGTAACGTGTTTAGGTCAAAACAAAAAACAGTAACTTTTGACTTGTCCAAGAAAATTGGCAAATCTGTCGTTTTTCTGTGCTCTCCTACTTTCCTTCCCCCTGTCTTTACCCGTCTTTGAAAGTGTAAGCAGATATTATTAGTTGTAAGGAACTTTACAGTGATTTACCTCTTAGAATATATTATCACCTGTTGCCTCTGGCTTCTATTGTTTCTGAAAAGTTAGCTATTAATACTATTATCTTGTCAATATGATAAGTTGTCTGTCATGCTGCATTCAATATTATATCTCTTGCTTTTAATGTTTTGACTGAGATTTATCTAGCTGTATGTTTACATTTATTGTACTTGAAGTTTATTTATTTTTTGGTTATATAAATTATGTTATTCATCAAATTGAAATTTCGGCCATTATTTCTCCAAATATCTTTTCGGTTCCTTTTTCTTCTCTCCTTAGGGCTCTCCTATTATGATTATGCTATTATGTTTAATGGTGTCTCACCTTTCTATATCTGTTTAGTTCACCATGTAAATGAGCTCCTAATGCCTTTTTTTCCATTGTATGAATCACACTTTCCTGTTCCTTTGCATGCCTTGTTATTTTTATTGAAAACCAGGCATTTTAGATAGTATACTGTAGGAGATTTGGACACTGATAACCCAGCATCTTTGGGGGATTATTGTTTGTTCAGTCACTTGTTTATTTAATTGTGTAAAGTCTTAATTTTTCTCTCAGTGTTATCCCTGATACTTCTGCTCAGCTTTTTGCCATAATCTTTGGGTTTTTTTTGTTGTTGTTGTTGATTTTGTTTTTTGGATTTTTTCTTTTTGTTTTCATTGTTGTTCTAGGGATTGAACTCAGGACCTTGTGCTTGCAAGGCAGGCGTGGTGCCACTGATTTAAATCCCTGGACCTTTTGCCCTCGTTTTTATCTTTTATCTCAGCTTCTTAAGGATTGTCTCTGGATTAGTAAAAGCCACTTATTGGTCAAAGGTTGTGCTTAAATTAAACTGTATTCACTTAAAAAGGGAGATGAAGAAAAGGAAAAGTTGGAAACAAAGTCAAATAGGGAGGGGTGGAGGGGTTGAAGGGATGACAGGGGAATGGGGAAAAAATAAGTACCAATATACATCATGTAAAGGTATAAATTCCCAATGATGAATGTCATATTGCATACCTAAAATGTACCAATAAACTTAATAATTTTTTAAAAAAGAAAGAGGAGAGGGAGGCAGAGGGTCCTGGAATTTCTTTTTCTAATACTTCCTAAAAAGTTTCAATCTTTGGCATGTACACAGTCTTCTAGACTTCCCAGGATAAATTTAACTTTATTTTTAAGACTTACTTCTCAGGAGTTGCCCTAAAGTCAGAGTAGTTTTTTGTTCAACAGTGTTTATTCAGAGGTTATGCCTAAGTCCGTCAAACCAGTAAGGTTTTTGCACTTTCCTTACTGTTTGTCATGTGAGTTAGGGAATATTTTCAAATCTGCCCCTACCCAAATCTGACTGCTCCTGAGAGGAGCCAATGTAGCATATATACACTGTAATCAAAATAAAAATCAAATCAGAATAAAGTTTTTCTTTTTCATTTGGAGCTGTAGAGTTCTGTCCTTGCGATAGCCTCCCTCTCTCCTTAGGCGGAATGTCTTTGCTACTGCATTAAAACAAACAGGGACAGTTGCCCTTTTCTCCAAGAGTACCTATGTGTTATGAGTGGGTACTGAGAAAAGGATGGTTAATGCCTGATCTTTCTTTGCCCCTCCTGGTGTAGGGCTGCCTCTTAAGTGAGCTGAGGCTAAGTCAGTTTTCTGGACCTTCAAGAATGAGGACAGCCCATCTTGGCTTTTTCATTCTCTTAATTATATATTAAACTTCTAATGTCTCTTGTCATTTTACTTGTACCAGCATCATGGAGCTAAAGACCCCTTCCCAGTTGCTTTCACTAAGATCTCCATTGTTTTCAACAGTGCCATGCACTCCTCTACACTGTAATCAAAATAAAGTCATTCTTCTGAGTCAGAGCTGTGGAGCTCTGTCCTTAAAGCCTACATCTCTCCTCAGATAGAATATCTGTACACTGCATGGAAACTGGTAACGGAACAGTAGCCCTTTTCTTCCAGATAACCCTGTGATATTAATGGAGAGTGCATATAAGGGGATGGTAATCCCTGGCCTTCTGTTCACCCCTGCTGGTGTGGAGCCTCTATCTAGTCAGTGAGCTAAACCTGAAGCAGATGAGACCCCACTTAAGAAACTCCACTCTTCAGTTGGGGACAGGTTGTGGGGAGAGAGCTCCAGTCCTTTTGGCCTGGACTGCCTCGCATAGAGAGTTTCTGCTGCATGGAGATATAGTACATGAGAGAGAGCTGCATCCTATCTAGACATAGGTCTCTACTGAGAGCTTATCTTCTTGGCCATGCCCACCTGAACTAGAAAGTGGATAGAATCTGAGAAAATTGTGATTCGGTGGTCATAGGCTCTTATGTTCCTCACGAAAGTTTGTCTATTTTCCTGAAAAAATAAACTTTTTCTTTATGCCACACACCCTTAAAACAATTTCCAATTTTAATTCATTCTTTTAAATCAATTTAAAATCATTATTTTCATATAATTTTTACCAGTAAAATGGATGCTTTACTGGAAAGTATCCACCAATCTTCTATAGCCACACTAGACATATGCCTCCTTTGTAAGAAACTTGAAAATTTAACTCTTGCTTGTTCAGTTGATTTTAGTAGTCCTGTTCTTCGTATTACTTGTTATGAATGTAAAAATTTTGTTCTAGCCAAACAAATTAGCTGATACACATTTTGAAGTAACTTCTTGAGATAAGGTCATATTTTCTGACCTTTGAAATCTGACTATGTTCCATGTTGGTGCTTTCACATTCTTGATTCAAAATTTATTTTTCCTCAAAACCAAGTGGAAATTGCTTCTTGACCTTTTTCATTTTTACTGCAGGAAAGAAATCTGAATATTTGATTTTTTCCCCCTTACAGTTTAAAAAATAATATTTCTATGTATTGATAGTTTTATTTTTTTAAAAAACATAGCCTTTCTCATTTGCAGTAGCTAACAGGTGTTTTCCCCCTTATTTTATTTCTTATTTTTCACAACTCATTTATTCTGGTTTTTATGTGTTGATTCTTCCCTTTCTGTCCACTCTTTTTTGTCTTTTTTTTTTCATCTTTTTGTCATTTCCTCTGCACTCTAAAATATTCTTGTCATCTAAATCAAAGGTCAACAAACTCTGTAAAGAGCCAGGTTACCCCCCACTGGTCTTTTTAAACTTGTTCTTCTAATCTGTTTTCCTCTATTCCTCTATTCTATTCCTCTATTCCTCTATTCTATTTCTGTTGAAAGATCAAAGCATAAACATTTTTTTGGCAAGAAGACATGAGTGATGTGTTCTTCATATACCATCACATCAAGAAGCCAAGTGAATGTAATGTTGTCTTGTGCATTTAAAGTGATTATAGCTAAATCCCTATGATGTAGGTATTTTTCCTTGTTCAAGTAAAAATTAACCTTTCAAGTAATGTTCTTATGCTCTATGAATTATCACATGCTTTAGAATCTGTCTGAATCAGTTATTTTTTGTTACAAAAACAAATCTGTTAACTGGCATGCTTCTGAAATAGAGAATTTTTTTTTCCTTAATGAAAGATAAGGCAGAATTTTTCCTAAAAATCAAAGGAAATTCTTTATTCTTTAAATTTAGTTACCTGTTTTCAGAGAAAAAAAAGGTGGTAATATAGTAGTCACCTCTAGCGATGGGAAATAGCTTTTTTTCTTTCAAGTATCATTTGATTCATGAATATTTTTCAGTGTGCTTCTGTCATCTATATATTTTTTTTATACTTTCACAGCCATATTCTGGCTAGTGAACCCATTTAAGGTGACTTCTATACCCTTTTAACACCCCTAAGTAGTCTCTGAACACTTTTCATGTGTGTTAGAAATAACAAACTGTCCCTTTCTCACTTGATGTTTCCTTCTCCAGGATTTATAATCTTCCACTTTTCTGAGGAGTTTCAACTCCTTCTAGTGGAAAACGGTAATTAGTAAACCAGATCTAGACTCAAGGCGTGCTAATTATTAATAGGGTGTGATTGCTTCCAGGACATACCTGTGGTCAGACTGTTAACATGTTTTCTACAAAATTTTCCCCCTGTAGAAAAGCATTTTCAGAAAAATAATATACCCATAAGCATAGGACAAAGTATCTGAAGCAGAATTTAACAAAACTTCAATAAGACGCATAAATCCATGAATCATATTATGAAATTTTATCGTAGTTCTATAAGTAATAAATAGAACAGATACACAGAAAATCAGTGGGACATACAGAAGATTTCAATGACAAAATTAGCAATATTGAATTAATAGTGATTTTTAAAACTAAATAATACATAGTATGTATTCTTGTAAAGCACAAATGTAACGTTTAAAAGACATTTGCAGATGCTAGGTCATAAACAGATCTCATGAAATTTTGGAGGACTGAAATTACAGTAACTATTCTCTGACCGTAGTGTAATAAAATTAGAAGACAGCAAACAAAAGAAAACTGGGATATCTCTATATATTTAGAAATTAGGAAAGGTTTCTTTATAACCTGTGATTGTGTAAATGTGTAAATGCACATAGGAAAATGTTTTGAAATGAGTAAGAATTTAAACAACATTAAAACTGGATGGATATATACATCTGTGTGAAACATATTTTAGAACAAGTCTTAAAAATCAGCTACCTAAGAAGTGAATTTAAAATTTTTAGAAAGCAACAAAAACTTAATTTTTTTTGGTACCAGAATCAAACTTGGGACATTGTACTTGCAAGTCAGGTAGCAGCATCATTGAGCTAACTCTCCAGCCCCAGAAACCTAGATCTTTATCAAAGAAATAAAGGATGAAAGAACAAAAAGTAACAAAATAGAAAACAAACATGTAACAGTCCACAACAGTTCTCAAAGCAAAAAATTGCTTCTTTGACAGTAGAATTGATGAGGCATTTGTTTAAACTAGGTAAGGAAAGAGTAGTGCATCACACTACTTTGGGAGGTTGAGGCAGAAATACCTCAAGTTTCAGTCCCACCTGGGCAACTTAGCAAGAACCTGCCTCAAAATAAGAAGTAAAAAAGGGCACTGGGGGTTTAGCTCAGTGCAAAGTGCCTAGGTTCAATCGCTTGTACGAGAAAAATAAAGAAAGGGGCAGAGTGGGAGAGAAAGAAACATCAAAAACATTCTTATATCAAGATTTCATGTATGATAAAGTTAGACTTGTGGAACAGTAGGGTGGTATTTGAAACTTTTCCCTTTTATCATCATACACAGAAAATCATTCCAGTTTATAGATCTAAACATAAAAAACCACATAATGAATCTTCTTACAGATAATATAAATTATAACTTCAGAGTAGGGAAGGATTTCTAAAGGAGGACATAAAATCCAATAGCCATTAGTTAAGAGATCAATAATTTGAACAACTGTACATTAAAATTAGAGACTACTTTCTGTCAGCACACTTTCAATAGAGTACAAAATAAGCCACAAAATGGAAAAAAATATCTGTGCATAAATAAAAAGCACACAGGTCTTAGTAATCAGACTCCTGCATGTCAGGAAAAAAGATAAACCAATAAAAGCTGACAAAAGATTGAACAAATCAGAAGAGAGACTGATATTAAAGGATGTTTAGCATCGTTAGTGATGAGAAAAAAGCAAATTAAAATCCTAATGAGATATCCTTACATATGCATCAGAATGATTTAAATTAAAAAGTTTGACAAGACAAAATGTTCACAAATCTGTGAGGTAGTGGAACACACATTATTATTGGAACATCACTAGTACAACTATTTTGAAAACCTTTCAGGCTACTTCTAAAATTAAAGGTATTTTCTGTGTTTGTCATGCTGAAGACTGGAAAACATTCACATGTCCAGGAATAGTAGCATGAATTCAGGTATATTCACACCATGGAATTCTATATAACACCAAAACTAACTGCAGCTACAGAAAACAGCATGATGAGTCTCACATGTTGAATGGGAAAAGAGCACAAAATATTACACATTGTATGATTTCATTTACATGAAATTTGAAATAGATTAAGTGAAACAAAGTTAGGGAGTAAACTAAAGAAAAGCAAGAATGTTACTGTCATGAATGACAAGACAATAGTTTTCTTTAGAAAAGTGAGATGGGATAATAACTGGCAGAGGATGTGAGAAATGCTTTGAATTGCTGGCAGTGTTTTATTTCTTGGCCTATTTGGTAGTCTTGTGGTAGTTTAATTCACTTAGCTCTACGTTTTTATTTTGCGTTTTTTTTTTCAGCTTTAATTGAGTTTATTGGTACATTTTAGGGATACAGTACAGTTACATTCATTGTTGGGATCTTGTACCTCTACATGACAAGTCTTAATTCTCATTTTTTCCCCTTACCCCTGCCTCCCTTCACCCTCTCCTCCCCTCCCCATCTACAAACACTTTATTTTCATCTTTTCATTATCTCACATTTTTTTCTTTTCCCTTATTACCCTTCCCCTACCCATCCCACCTTCCCTACACCTTTAGCTCCTTTCTTCCCATTTCTAAATGTCAGTAATCTTATTAGGATCTTATGTATTATTGCAGATTATTCACACCAGGGAAACTATTTGGTATTTACACATGTGTGACTTATTTATTTCACTTAGGAGTATATCTTCAATATGTATCCATTTTCCTATGAATGAATCTATTTTCTCATTCTTTATGGCTGAGTAATATTCCATTTTATAGAAAAACCACATCTTCTTTATCCAGTTTCCAACGGATGGGCAAATAGGCTGTTTCCAAGATTTAGCTATTACAAACTGTGCCGCTATAAACATGGGTGCACATACTTCTCTGTGATATGATTCTTTTAGTTCTCTTGGAAAGATACCCAGCAGAGGGATGGCTGGGTCAAATGGAACCTCCAGTCCAAGCTCTTTGAGGTATCTCCATATTGATTTCCATAGTGGTTGCACTAGTCTGCACTCCCACCAACAATGGAGGAGGGTTCCTTTCTCCCCACAACCCCGCCAACATTTGTTATTGTGTGATTTCTTGATAGCAGCCATTCTTTGTGGGGTGAGGTGGAATCTCAGTGTTGTTTTCATCTGCATCTCTCGAATGACCAGTGATGTGGAACATTTTTTCATATATTTTCTTGCTGCTTTTACTTCTTTGTCTGAGAAATGTCTGTTCATCTCGGATGCCCATTTTTGAATCGGGTCTTTATATTTGGGGGGACTGATTGTTTTGAGTTCTTTATATATCCTTGATAATAGTCCTTTGTCTGAGGAACAGCTGGTAAAAATTTTTTCCCACATTGTAGATTGTCTCTTAGTTCTGCTGATGGTTTCTTTTGAAGTACAGAAGCTTTTTAGTAAGATGAGATCCCAGTTGTTGATTCTATCTGCTAGTTCCCGTGCTACTGAGGATTTGTTCATAAAGTCTTTTCCTATACCAGTGTCTTCCAGAGTTCTGCCTAACTTACCTTCCAGCAAGTATTTTGCGTATTTTAAAAATTTCTATTAGAACATGGTTAGTATACATGATTACCTTCATGGGGAGTTGGTACGTATATATAAAACCCATCTTAATTCTTGTTTTGTGTATTTTTATTTGTGTCATTTCACACTGAAAAAGAGGTAAAATAAAATGTTGCATTTCCAGAGAATCTGTATGCAAAGTGAGGCAGGTAGACTTTCTAAATGATTATTTTCTAAGTTATTTTTGTGATAAACTACATTTAGTACAATTACCATGGAAAAACTGATAGTGAAAGGTGATGTATGATAAAATAAACTTCAGAAAGAAAATATATGCAAGTGTAAAAATATAAATAAGATATTGGTCTTTTTAACCGATTAATATGTTTTGCAGAAAACAAGCGTTCATAGTCGGTTGGGAGTTATTTATAATCCTACATCAAAAATAAATGAAGAAAACACAGCTATTTCTAGAGGAATTTTGGCAGCTTTTCTCACACAGAAAAACAACCTTTTATGGAGCTTACTCAGGAAACTGTCAAAGAAAGAAACTGCTACAGCCATTTACTCTGGAAATAAAATTAAAACATTCCTTACTGAGGTCAGTAACTATTTGCTTGAAATAATAAGTATATGTTGCCTATTTCAAAAATACAAGTCAATATACCTGGAGATAACATTTTGCTGAAAAATACTAATAAGTATAATCAGTTGAGAATAGTAAACACTCTTGTAGAGTGGAAAAAGATAAACATTAAGTGATATAATTTTGCAAGTAGTCATTTAGCAAATCAAATTTTATAATTTCATTAACTACCTCATGATCCTTAAAGTTGATGGAAATCTAATTTTAGGCTATGTAGTCAAGTAAAGAATTACAGATTAAAGCATTAGGTAAATAGCTCTCAACTATTTCACTGAAGAGTTCCAGTATGAGAAACATTGTAAAGCTAGAAGATAATTTTCTAGAAGAAAGACTCATTCTTCCATTCAAAAACCTTTTACCATTCATCTATCAGGCAATGGAGCTATCCTTGTGAATAAGGCAAATAGAGTCCCTGCTCTTACAGAGTTTACGCTGATGTGAGAAAGACATAATAAATGGCACTAGAAAATACAAAGAGACCTTAGAGGATATATAATTTGTAGCGTGTGGTTTTAGATGGAGTTGTCAAGCAAGGCATCTCTAAAGAGTTTACATTTGAGCAGTTCTGCATGAAAGGATAGATCAAGCCATGCAAAGGTCTGGGAGGAAACTATAACCAGGTTCAGGAACACACAGGTCTGAAGGCCTAACAGGCAATCTTCCCAGGTTTGTAGTATAGGCAGATCATAGTGACCAGAATTGAGTGGTGATATGGAAACTAAGAAATGAGGTCACACAGATAGCACCATATATTTTCGATACTTATAAACCACAGTAAGAATTGACATCTTTTCTGAGTATGTTGAGAAGCCTTTGAGAAATCTTAAGGAAGTGAAAAAAGCTAAAAATCACTGTTGATGCTATCAAAGATTAGATTGTAGGTAGAGAAGAGTAGACACAGGATAAACAATTTTCACAGTAATATATGCATGAAATGATGGTGTTTTGGACTAAGTAGTGCTAGAGGTGATGATATAAGTTGATACATAGTATTTGTTGCTGTATAGTCAATAGAATCTATGAAAGTAATCTAGGATTTTTGGCTGGAATAGTTAGAATTAGCAATTTTTTCTTTAAGATGAGAATATTTGACAGGATCAAAAGTTAAACTGTATACATGTTAAATTGGAGATGTGTGTTGGATGTTCAAGTGGAAAAGTTGAGTTGACAAGTGAGTAAATTAGTGTCATACTCAATGGAGAGTTGTAACATCATCTTTTTTAAAATTCAGTATGAGAGTCATTAACATTTATAGTATTTAGCACTAAGAAATTGGATGAGATTACCTAGAAAATGAGTAGGAGGATGAGGAACAAGAGGACAGAGGGCTAAAAACGTGAGTTCTGAACATTACAACATGTAGAGGTACCCACAAAAGGGCTGATCCATTGAAGGAGACAGATGGGATAACTAGAAGTTTGAATGATAAATAGGAGAAGTGTGGTGTCCTAAATGCCCCTTAGAAAAAGCATTTCAAGGAGGAAATGATCAACTATGCTAGTTGTTCTTGAAATGGAGTCCCCATTTGACCATTTTGTTTGATGAGGTAGTCTTTAAGACACTTGATTAGAACAGTTTTAGTGGAGTTACAGGTTACATAAGTGTACTCAAAATCTAAGAGAAAATGAGAAATCAGGAAATAGAGATAGGTAACTTTATAAAGGAATTTTCCTATATAAAGGAACTGAGAAATAGGGTTAAATCTAGAATGAGCCTTGAAGGCTGCATCTCAAATGGCACTTGAAGTCCCATTTATACTAATGGGAGTAATTTATCCAAAAAAGGAGAGACAGGAGAGCAGTTCTTGAGCAGGTAAGAGGTGCTAGAAACCAACCCAGAAGTGTGTTGCTCTTAAGAACAGAAATTCTCTATTTTATCCACAAAAAAGGTAGAATCTATGGGCACACATACAGAAGAGTGGATTTATTTAGTGGCAACAAGATGAATTATTTCTCTTATTGCTTTCACTTTCAGAAGTCAGGTCATTATTAAAAGTGGAAGTAGATGTTCTTAGATGTTTGAGGAGAGAAACGATAATATCAAATATTTTTCTATTCTAAAAGTGAGAATGTGAATTAAAATTAAGTATATTAATGTAGGAAGATTTCTATTCCTTTCTGAAGACTTAAAGTTAATAATCATAGTGAGATAAGCATTGGCTGCATGTTTTTCTCAAGCTATATCCCATTCTTTAGATCTAGTTGCAGAATAAGCAGTGTAGTGTAGTGCACTTTGCCAAGTGAATACGGCTGAGAGAAAATATTCAAGAGAGCTAAATGTGGAAAGTCTTGGTACAGTAGTAAAAGACCATAGGATAAAAATTGGTTAAAAGAAAGCCTGTGCTATGGAAGGATGATGAGCAGTAAACAAATGACAGGGTCTGTGAGCTGAAAGGTCAAGTAATGGTTGGTCTGGTGATGGCGGCATGTCTGGAAGGGGTGGACAGACAGGAGGCGATGATTGAAATGGGGATTTTGGAGGTTAGCGTGTCCAGGGCTATGCTGTCCAGTACTGTAGCCACTGACTATGTATGGCTATTTAATACTTAAATACAATTTTAAACTGAGTTCCTCAGTTGTGTTAGCCACATTTCAAGTGCTAAATAACTGTGACTCTGTTACCACACTGGGCAGTGCAGAGGAACATTTCCATCATCCCAGGAGCCCCTGGCAGTGTAAGGCCCCACCCTGGTTCTCTTGTAGTACTCAGGTAATTTGTACATACATTATAGTATGAAAAGCACTGGTAGGGAGAAGTGTTCCTCAATACAAAGCTGTAAGGAACCTATATTTGGTTGATATTCTGTGAATGTCCATAAAATGTTAGACTCTGACAAGGTTACTTTCAGTATTTAAATACGCTCTTACTAAATTTATCTTTTGGGATTAGTATAGTGGATTGAGATAGGGTATTTCTAATTTAAACACTTTTTATTGAAAACACTAAAATGAGTAGTACTTAGTTCAGAATTTAATAAACATTTTAATTCATTTCTTTTATTTAATTGATATCTCTGAAAATTTTACTAATTCAGTAATCCTCTTGAAATCTCAAAGAATAAATAGCAAACTATATCTGTTTATAACAAGAATTAAATAACTGCATGATTTGGCAAAGGTGGATTCTTTTTTAAATGTTATTTATGAAGAAAATTAATTTCAAATTTTCTGATAACACTTCTAAAAGTTAGTTTTGTTAAAAATTTCTGCATATTGACTATCCTCTTATTAACTTTGCTATTTTTATCTTGTATTTTAGGGAATGGATAAGAATGCTTTTGAGAAAAAATATAATACTGTTGGAGTAAATATTTTCCGAACACACCAGTTGTTCTGTCAAGATGTACTTAAATTGCGTCCTGGAGAAATGAGTATTGTCAGCAATGGCAAAGTAAGTGGAGGTAGCACTTGCTCACCTTTTCCAGTGACCCCGATGTACTGAGTCTCTTGACCTCTTTCTGTCACAACACACCTGGTGTGACACATACTGGTGTGGTGCTGCTTATATGATGAACGCCTGAGTCGGGACTCAGCAGGAGTAAAATGGGTGCCTGACACACTGCCTGTTCCTTCACCTCTTTCACCTCTCATGGTGACATTCCCCCAGTCGCGAATGCGTGTGAGCAAGAGTGTCCTTTATGCATATAACTCTTATTTTGTTCTAATAAAAGGATTAGAGAAAGTACTACACATTACAACGTTGAGAAACCATTGTTGTATAGTGCTGACATCGTATCTTTTTCTTGTATCTTTGTTTACAGTGTTTGTCAAATTACAGTAAATTTTCATTGTAAATGTTGAAGTGTTAGGTAATATAACTACCACATAATATTAACATAATCTAAAAAGCTATAAAAATAGAAATAAACTCAATGAGAGCAAAAAAGCTGTAAAAAATCCTCCTGTCTTCCTAATAAGATGTACTACTCATAGCTTACTGTTTTTACCTTTGAACTCTTTTTTCTACCATAGATATTTCTGTTTCTTTTAAATGCATGATTTTAATCCTATCACATAATTTCATATCATATAAATTTTTCTTAACCATTTGCCATTCCAATTATTTAGATACAGGATAACCAAAATTTTCATTTTTAAAACTTTTTACAAAATAACAGGAAATATAAAAATGAAAATTTTATCACATTTATTTATTAATTTTTCTGTGCATGGCATATCTTAAAACATTCAATACACAGTGCAACATTACAGTCTGGACAGTAGTATCTAGTATCTTTCCAAATTCTTTTTGCATTAGTGTCTTTTTTTGAACAACACACTTTACACTGTCATGTCTGCCTTTCCTTTTTTCTTCTGGATGGTACAGTTTCAAAAAAATGTCTACACTTAAAATGGTGAAGACATCGATGATGAATGTGCTGGTTGGTGTTTCACTATCCTGTATTTGTTCTACTAAACATAATCTAAATTGTAAATGACTTTTAAACCCCCTTGCTTTGAATAAATAACAAATGATCTCCATATTGTTTGGTGCGGAAGATACACAAATATTTTATAGTAATATTTTTCTTCACTTTTTGATTACAGGATAGCTTGTTAGATGTTGGTCAACACTGACCATAGAATTACTATAATTGTTGACTACTATTGGAATGTTCTTAGTTTCATTTCTTTTTTTTTTTGAGTACCAGGGATCAAACTTGGGAACTTGTGTTCATGAGGCAGGAGGTGTGGAGCCACTGAGCTAAATCCCCAGCCCTTGTTTCTTCTAAATTCTATCATTTCTATTTTTCCCCCCTAGTTCTAGGGTTCCAACTCAGGACATTATTCTTGCCAGGTGGGCACTGTGCCACTGAGCTACATCTCCAGCCCTGAATTCTATTATCATTTCTATAGTATGAATAGTTGACAATAAGAAGATGTCTTTTTTGTCTTTCCATTTTTTGTTTTGTTATTTTTTGGTACTGGGGGTTGAACTTGGGACCTTGTGCTTGTGAGGCACGCAGCAGAACCACTGAGCTAAATCCATGGCTCTGTCTTTCTATTTTGTAACACAGGCTTTTCCTCTCTGATATGCTGTTTTCTCCCTTTTTTAGTTTTTTCTTTTGCATATCTTCTGGTGCTTCCTTCCTATTCAGTCTCAGTGTCCCAAATGTGTCTGTTTTGTATTGTAAAAATCATATCACTCAATTCTGGAGAAGTGTAAAAATTATATATAATGTACTTACAGTAAGTATTTATAGATTGTAGCACAAAATTATATTATTTTTCACAAAATAAGCACAAATTAGTAAAAGAATATAACTATAACTTATTGTTACATTGCACTAGAAACAAACATCAAAGGAAAAGACCACATTCTAAATAAAAAAGTATGCAAAAAATCATTGATATAAAACAAACAGATGTATGAGTGTGTCTCGTGCACACCAGAATTGACTGGTTAAAGTGACACCTGTGTGAGGACAGTCAGGATTGTCAGTATATAAACACACTGCTCAGGTGACACTCAGGTTAAACTGTTAAGCAGTTAATATATCACAAACATTTTTATGATTAGTCTTAATTGACCCAAAAGAAATATCTACTTAATTTTTAGTATAATCTGATTTTGTTAAGTAAAAATATTAAATCTGGTACTTACATTTATTAAGAAATGGACTAAGGGCCACGGATGTAGCTCAGTGGCACTGCACCTGCCTAGCAAGTGCAAGGTCCTGAGTTTGATCCCCAGGACTGGAGAAAAAAAAAGAGAAATCAACTAGTGCAGTGTATTTGTTACATCTCTGGGATAAATTATCAATGTATATATCCCTAAATCATCTTCAAAGCTGTAATGCATTCTCATTGTTTCGTTTTTCCATATTTTTATGAACTATTCACCTGTGTGTTACACTCAGATTCATCTGTATGCAGTGCTGTTTTACAAATTGGTGACAACTGTGCCATTTATTATTGTAAAAGATATTAATGAATTTTGATAGTGAGCTATGTAGAAGCCTAGGAATGGCATTGCTTTTTTTTTAACAGTTCTTTTGGAAAGAAATACAGCTTTTTAAAACAGTTTTAAAAATATGGTTATCTTTTGTTGTCATATATTTTCTTTAGTATACATACGTAGTGTTACAATATCAGTAACAACAAATACTAGTCATAGTTAATTAATTCTAAAACTATATTTTATCCTCATTTTCTTTAAAATTGATTAAAATATTCAGATATTAATCTTTCACCTGCTGTGAACAAGTCTTCTAGATAGAATAATGTTAATGTGGATCAAGGTGAGGAAGACTGCAAGATGAATAAGGTGTTCAGGAGTGGAAGAGAATTCACTTCTGGACCTGAGAATTGTTGAGTAGGCAATTGAAACAAGAGTTGAAGTCAGAAAAGACTGATGACAGAGTTTGATGACCAGTCAGATTATGTTGACATTTTGTGTTGATTAATGGAAAAATGTAATTTTGATTATCCTGTGGCTTGAAAGTAATACTAAGTATTGTGATTTATGAACTATGCTATAGTTCTTAGCCAATTACTCTTATCTCAGAGAAGTGCTGTAAGGCATAATGATCACAGGAATTGTAGCAGATTTTCATAATTCTGAATCAGACAGTCTAATACTTGAAATAATTATGACATTTTAGCATAGAATATGTCAGATGTTTAGGTTAGAATATAGAATTAGATTTTAGAATTAGGGTTAGAATTTAACACAGTCAAAATTAAAATTATAAGCCATTGAAGCTAGGGTACAATGATGATTACATAATTTTAACTGACACCAAAAAAATTGAAAATTGATTTATATCTCCAAATAGAGCTATTACTATAATTGTACTCATTTTATTTTTATCACAGCACATACTTACAAATTGCTGAAACACATGAGACAACAATGTAGGAAAAAGTAAGGCTTTTTTTTTTAAAGCCACACAGATCTGCATACAAAATCGGCTATACTATTAATTATGTATGCAACTTCTGTGCATATGTGTGTGTGTGTGTGTGTGTGTATATATATTTTTATTTATTTTTTTTTTTTTTGTACCAGGGATCAAACTCAGGACCTTGCACTTGTGAGGCAGGCGGAGGAACCACAGGGCCAAATCCCCAGCCCCTCATATTTTCTTGATTTGGACAATATTTAAACTGTTGTCAGGTTAAAATGCTTTTTGTGTAGAGCACATGGAATGGACTTGGACACAGTCAATTTTCAATACTACTTTAACATATTCTCTTTTGAACAGTTTGAAAGCTTTCATGCAAGTGGGTACAGCTGTAGACTTGATTTTAGTTGCACTAGATGAGTCAGTATACAATCAAGTATAGTTGATCCAACTTATGGAAAGAGATTTTTTAGCTCAATGTATCAATGAAAATTCTAATGAGTTATCAGAAATTTTAATGAGCTATCAAAGGAGCTAATTCATTTGTGTTATAGTAGTTATGTATAACTGAAAAAATTATATTTTCAAAATGTTATAAAGAAAAGTTAAGCACAAGATACATTTTATCTCAAGTTTCCTATTCTTTTCCCAGCTTGGACATTACATGATTTTACACTATTTAAATCACATTATTCCACAAATATATTCATCTTTTAGTACAAGAAATAAGATACAGAAAAATTAAATTTCCCTTACCTGTTTGATGCCATGCTTACATAGATGAAATAGAGTGTTTTCTGATGAACTTAATCAACAGAAATAGCTAATCTTGTTAATCTCTTAAGGAAATAATTTAAGATTTTTATGTCTTGAGTTACTAACAAAGCTACCTAGCTGTATTACTAGAAGTAATATAGGTAGAATTAAATTCTTTCAAAATTACCTTAAAAATCACAGCAGATCCTAAGGCAATGAAATATTCCTATTAGCTCCTTTGAGATCATGCTGCCTTTTTCCCCCCATGTTTTTATTTTTGTTTTTTTGTTTTTTTTTTGAGACAGGGTCTCACTACATACTTGAAATTGACCTGGAACTCACTATGTAGCCCACCCAGGCTGATCTCAAACTCACAGTGATCCTCCTGCCTCAGCCTCCCAAGTGCTGGGATTACAGGTGTCAGCCACCACGCCCAGCAGCCCTCCCCACATGTTTTTAAATCCCTGTAGTTTCTCTTTGAGATGAAACATATATTTGACAAAGTCACCTGCACAAGTGAGAGGAATGATTTAAGGACTATATGATACTGCAGTAATTTTTTGACAATATTAATTGTGGATGCAGATAAAGGGGAGTAAGAAAGTTTGGCTGAAGCCATTACATTCTAGTTTCTATTGAGAAAAAATATACTGGATCATGTGTCTGTCTGTCTTACCTTCTACATCGGGGTCTTGTGTACAGAGTATTATGATGATTGCACATGATAGCTTCCACAAGAAATGTTCCAGATAGAGTTAATAGTGGTGGTGATGGGATAGCCATCTTGAGAATTTATGTATGTGTCAGTTTGATAGTTTCTTACTCTGTAGTTATTAACTGTAGTTTCTTACTGTGTAGTTATGAAAGCTGAGCTAAGTTATCTTGCCCTACTATAAATCACATATACAGTTATAAGTTAGATTAAGATATATTGGAATTATTATAGTAATCATGTGATTTGTCTCTTTGGTATTTTATGATTTATATATTAATTCAGGTCTACATAATATGCAGTATAATTTACAGATAAATATAGAAAATTGAAATTAAAAGATTTATGAACTGTAGATAATTACCTTCAGAAATATCTGGAAGCATCATAATTTTTAAGTAAAACTTGGTAGTGGAAACAGCTTACTACTTTTTTATTTTGGTGTTTATGCAAATAATATTTGTAGTATCAGAGTCAGAAAATATTTTTCTTTTTTTGTTTGTTTCCCAATGAATTTGGTAAATGGTGGGATTAATTGTCATTATCTCTTTAACATCTAATCATTTTTTGCTTAAGAAATATCTATTTGATCAGAAAATAGTTTTATTAAACTGCTCTCTTCTAGAAAATATACAATAATATAAGTATTTTATTGTAAGTTTTTAGGACCTTTAAGTGAAGATTTCTATGTAGAAGATTTTTACTTGCTGGAAAAGATAACTTTCAATAATTTAGCAGAGAAAATTAAAAGCATTGTTGAAAGTATGAAAGTCATCCCAAAAGAGTAAGTGTTTAAATCATAAGAGTTCATTTTGGGATTTGGAATTTTGTGCATGATTTCTTTTTAAGATTTAATGTTTCAACTATGTAAAGTAGTAAAGATCAATAATAAAACACCTATTGGTGATATGAAAAAGTAATAAAACTTCCATTTACTCATTGCTGTAGAAGTTAATATTTTACTTGCCTTGGGTCTTACTTTCTCTTAGTTTTTTAACCATCCAGCCCCAATCCCTCCCTAAGAGGTAATCACTTTTTTGAAGGTTATATGCATGATTCCCATATTTGTGTTTATACTTTTGTTACATAATAGAAATATATGATCAGTGCTTATTGTGTTGAATGCCTTGACATTTTAGCTGTAGGTCAGTGGTGTCAAACCTTTGGCATTCATGCATCAGCTGGCATGCAGAGCCCTCTTTATCATCAGGCGAACCAAGTCAACCCAGCATTGCCCTAGCACCTGAACATTAAACATTCAGGTTTAATTGTAGTATTGGCACTTTGCGATAAATAAGTAGGTTTGGGGTTACAGTTTGGGTACTCAGTCTCTGAAATGTTCACTATTAGGGCTGGGGATTTAGCTCAATGGCTCTACACATGCCTCTCAAGAGCAAGGTCCCTGCTACCAAAAACTAAAATAAAATAAAATATTCACCCTCTCTGTTGTAGGTTTTCTTTATAGTCTTTCATAGGAGCTTTAACCATGTATAACCATATGTATAGATCTTTTCTTGCAGCATTAATTATAACAAAATATGAAACTTTCTCTTCCTAAAAATCTCATATATTGTTTTATCTTGTTTATCTAGCATAAGTGACCTTGTTATGAAAGTTGATGCCCTTGTTTCCTCTTTGCCTGAGCATACATCTCGGTATAATGTCACATTTCTTAAAGAGAAGCACAGGTAATGATATAATGATATCTGTTCAAGACTTTTCTGTCACTGCATGCTACACTCAATTACTGTTTCTCTTTATTTTCATAACAGTGAAATTTAAACTAGAATTACAAGTTCTTTTTTGGAGAATAAATATATTTGACAGTGTTAGAAAAAGAAATTACAAGGCTAGGGGTATAGCTGGTAGATCACTTCTTATCTTGCATGTGCAAGGTCCTGGGTTCTATCTCTAGTACCATAAAAAATGAAAATATTCCAGTTAATTATATATTCTTCTAAATATAGGATGATACATATAAAATATGAAGTTTTATGTAAGTTAAACCTAACATGATTTCTCTTATTCTTTTTTATATTTTTATTAATTTTATTGGTACATTTTAGGTATGCAATATAATGACATTCATCATTGGATGTTTGCAACCTTTACATAATCTATCTTGGTTCTTATTTTTTCCCCCATTCCCTGCCCTCTCTTCAACCCCTCCACCCCTCCCTATTAACAAAGGCTTTGTTTCTGTTTTTCCTTTTCTGGTATTCCATTCCCTTCTTTCCTTTCCCCTGCCCTTCCCACTTCCCCTTCCTCTTTGACCCAGCTATTCCCCTGCTGGATATCTTCCCAAGAGAATTAAAAGAATCATACCACCGCGATATATATGCACCCATGTTCATAGTAGCACAGTTTGTAATAACTAAAACTTGGGAACAGCCCACCAACTGGAGACTGGATAAAGAAAATGTGGGGTTTTTTTAATATAAAATGGAGTACTACTCCACCATAAAAAATGCAAAATTAGAAACATTTATAACTAAATGTATGTACATTGAGGTGATGCCCTTAAGTAAAATAAATAGGACACACGTGTACATACCAAATAGTTTCTCTGGTGTGAGAAACTGAAAGTGTAAATAAGGTCTCTTACTCTTAATGTCATTCTCTCACGGTCAAGATCATTTTTAATTTTTGCAGCATCTTCCAATATCTGAGTCCACTGGAGTACTGATTGATCAAATGTCAGAGTACTTGTACTAAGTATTTTCCATATAACTTATGAAATTTCAAATAGATGATAATTTACAACAATATGTCCCAAAATGTGTTCTATGGAGCACTACTCTGGGATGTTGACTCATATTCAGAGGAGACAACTGTTCTCTGGTCAGGTGAGTTTAAGGATCACTGCATTTTAAGCATTTTTGGTTCCTGTGTATATATGTTGTCATGATATATTTATCTCTGTTGACTTAGGTTGTTTGAAGGCATGTATGAAGGCATGAGCCTTCTTGGGAAAAAAAAAACAAAAAACAAAAAAAAAACCAGCATGTGAACACCAGAATGCCACTTAACTAGCTCTGACCTGTCTTAGCTTCAGTTTCATAGTGTGTAAACTACAGACAATGTTCCCTACTATTCATGGGTTATGTGATTCAAGCCTACTTCCTTGTATATGTGTAGATACTTATTGTGCTGTAGCTATGATTTGTGTTTGCTACACAAATAACGAAGTATCTCTCACAACTTGGAAACAAAAGAAATAAAAAGAAAGATAAACTGTAAAATTAACGCACATGGATCAGGGAGAAATGTGAATACCACCTGCAATAGAGGACCTAGGCCAGTGAAACTTAATGATAACCTGATTTAAGGTACAGTTGCCCTACTTTACCCAGTTTTTAACTTTCTCTGGTTCTGGTTACATGTGATCAATGTGAACCTAAAATAAGTAAATAAAACAGTTACAATAAAATAATTTTTTTTTTTTTAGTTAATATGTTGCTCTTTTATTTTATCCAAACCTGTGGTTCCAAGGAAAGTTTCCAATTAGAACAAATAGATGGGATGGGATGGGTAGGGGAAGAGTAAAATACAATAAAATAATTTGAGAGACCATATTCACAAAACTTTTATTATAGTCTATTGTAATTTTTATATTTTATTATTGCTAATCTCTGCCTTGTTTATAATTTAAACTTTATTGTAGGTATGTATATCAAGGCAAAAAAAAACCTAGATTTTGGGCATCACTAGGAATAAGTGAAACATATCCTCTGTGTATAAGGGATGAGCTCTGTTTTAATTTATTAAAGAAATAATGACTGTTGGATTTTCTTTGTGTTGGAAGCCTAGGAAAATTAAAGAGAAAATCATTAGCAGTGCTAGACTGTTAATCAGTTTTTACTCAGAGCACTGGACATACCATGTACATGTGTATTTGGTTGGTTGTATCTGAGGGATGGGTAGATAAATTTACATAGGATTGTATAGGGACTTGACCTTACACAATTGTCAGAGCTAGTAAAACAGTCTGCCCAAGACTAGCAACTTCTGGTACTGGAACTTGAAATTCGCAAGGCATGCAGTTGGGAAGGTGGCTTTAAGACAGGATGACTGGAGAGCAAACTGAAACTTTACAAAGATGGATGGAAACTTGCATCAGCCCCTGTTGCCTCTGACGTTGGCATCCTGCCACAGTGGAAGCCATCTCTCATAAGGCTAAGTGCACACACACAAATGATCAGAAATCAAAAGAGGTGAGGGAGAATCTAGGGGAAAGTTGAACACATTGTAGGTCCATCTGCTACTTTGAAGTCAACAGAGTGAATCAGCAACTCAGTGATAGTCATTTCCATGTTAGTTGCAGAGTGGCTACTGCCACCTTGCTGCCCTTAGAATCTGCTGTAAACCTCTCAGGCGCCATCCAGGCTTGGAACAATCTGGAAAATGTAGGTTAGCCCAGTCAGGTTGCCTCACTACAAAACTGGGACATTTTCTGCAAGGTACCAGTGATAAGAAGGAAATGCAAGGTTTGACAAATATATGTTTGATTTCTTGGTCATTTCTAAATCCATGTTCTCTGTTAGAGATCCTTGTTGATTGTAAAAATAACTAGCTTTTCTAAATACTGTACTCCCACTAAAGATTCCCTGAGCTCGCCCAGGTGTCTTAAAATTACCACCAGTAATTTTCTCTAGAACTACCATTCTTCATCAAGGAGTATGCATTCTTCTAATTTTTTTTCCTTCTAGGGAAAATTATATTTTTAAATAAAATTCTATTTTATAAATTTCTACATAAAGTAACATACTATTAATTTTAGAAAATGTTGATTAACCGTATAAATGAGAGGAAGAAGGTTGAAGGGAGGAAACAGAAATGGGAAAAAATAAGAATCAAGATATATTAAATTCCCTCTGGTGAATGTGATCACTGTGTATACCTAAATATGCCAATAAACTTAATTTAAAAAAATAAATTGATACTAGGGTATACCTCAGAGATGAACAAGCAATTCAAGTAAATTTTAATTTGAATTTATGCATATATTATTTCCATAGTAATGTGTATTAATGAGCAAATGTGTGTACTTCTGTAATCACATAAAAATGTATTCATTTAGCATTTTTTAGGAAGATACACATATTTGTTTGTTTGTTTGTTTTGTACTGCTGGGGATCGAACTCAGGACCTTCTACTTGCAAGTCAGGTGGTGGAACCACTGAGCTAAATTCCTGGCCCCTATTCTTTCTAAAATTTAAATTGGCTCATAAGAATATTTAAATTTTACAAAATATCTTAAATTAGAAGGTTTGCAAGAGAGAAGTGGCCTCGACCCCGGGCTCCAGGCCCCACCCATCCGGGCCGAGGAGGCCGTGTCCATGGCGGAGACGGAGGAGGGAAGCCTGGACAACTTCTTCGCCAAGAGAGACAACAAGAAGAAGGAGCAGAGCAGCCGGACTGCCAATGCCGCAAGCGGAGCGGTGTGGGCCAGGCCGGGTGACGGCGGGGTCACGGGCGCGGGTACTGCGGGCCCTGGGGCCAGCACGAAGGCCGTGAAGAAGGATGAAGACCAGTGGAAAGAATTTGAGCAAAAAGAGGTTGATTACAGCAGACTCTTGCAGTTTTTCCCTGGTCTGGTATGTTTGGTTCAGCAGAAGTATTTCATAGTGGTAGTAACCACTTGATGCAGAGTCTGGCTTTCTCTGTAATAAATCCCTTTGCCAAATGCAGGAGTTGCAAACATGCTACTGGCAAGAGTAAAGCAAGTGAGTAAAACTGCCCTGGTGTTGGGCATTTTCTTATAGGATTTCAGTCTTGAACATGCTGGTCCAGGAATCCGACTGCATGAGGCCACACACAGTGCCTCCTGACAGCCCCTGGTGGCCACTGTGGGCAGTAATGTTGACATTATTTGAGGTGGCAGGAGGTACGATGCCTGCCTTTTGGTTGGTGTATTTGGGTGAGTAGCTGAGCCAGCCAGGGGAGTTTGGATGATTGAGTGAAAAATAAAAGACTCTTGGTTAAGCTGAAGACTTCATTTGGGAACCAAAAACAGTAATCTCTTGCACCTTGAGTCACATATTTTCCTTGAAAAGTATGAATTGTCCCACAGAATTTCATTGGGGGTTATTGAGAGGTGAGATGAGATGAATATGAGGTTTTATTTAATGGCACACTGTATTGGAAATCTACCTACAGCAGATTTAAATTCCAGCTCTTGTTACAACTTTTTAAGATTGTGAAGTTACAAAAACGCACATGAATCAAGTTTGAATATACTGTACGATGGGTGGATAAGGCAGTCCATTGTAACATTTATTTCTTTGGATTCTCAGGCATGGTTTGGCAGTGCAAGAACTCTGTAACATTAACAAATTCAATAAAAAATCAATAATATGGAAAAAAAGGTTTGCAAGAGGAGAAAGAAAATGCTAGGGATAAATTGAAATTCCAAATAAAATGAAAAGGAAAGGCACAATTATCTTTTTTTCTGCCTGAAGGATCTCTTTGAATCTCTATGCTTCCCTCCAGAATAATATGTGGAATTGTGTTCTTCTAATGTCTTTGCCAAAAGCAAAAATCAATCTTAACCTGTCACCCCATCATCCTAGGAACTTCACAGTGACAAATGCAAGCTGTTGGAGAATGTGCAGTACAAATCATTTTGAAGGAGCCTTTGCACACTCCTGTAATAATGACCTTCCCTGAGCAAACCGGGAACTAAGCTCTAAATCTACCAATTTGCACAATTCCAAAGTTCATGAGATGAAAACATACTCACTGTTCAGGCAGAATGTAACTGTTCTTAGAAGAGAGAAGACAAAGGAACTTCTCCCAAGAGCCTTCATAAAAAGGATCCTGTGTAATGAAGAGTGGTTTTAACAGCATCCTTTATACCTGTTGTATAATAGACTGATTGTATCAAGACAAAATGCAGTTCAGAGTTTTCCACTGTTGTGGCCTGTTTGAGATATGTTTGATGTATCTAAAAGAGTTGATGAACTGTGCATACCTCAAGTAGTTTTCACTGTTTTTGTTTCCCTGACCTAAGCTTTAATAATTATTGACTATCAGTATACTTGACATTATTCCTTCTGGCCACTGGCATGAAGTATATCTGTAGTTTCTTAGCAATTGAGTACAAATCTATGACCTTAAATAGGAAGTGGAGATAGAGTTAGCATCTTGTTAATGTTGCATAAAAAATAGTACATTCTGCTTCTGTTCTTAGGTGAATCAAGGTAATACCCACTAGTAGGCTCAGAATTTGGCTCAGAAAATTGCCTTGAATATCTTTCAGTACTAATATAATTAGATGATGAAAACTATGAAATCCTGGCGCATACAGCCTCAAAGAGTTAACACTCATTGGGGAAAAAGCAGGATTTTGAATGGCAGCTACAACAGTGTATTATGGTCTCTAGAGGAACAGAGTCAATAGACAAACAGCCATCAAAGATGGGAAAATCCATAGTGACTGCCTGTGGAATCAGAGTTGGGAGAATCCAGCAGCTTTTCAACAAAAAAGATGGAAGCCACAGAACAAGAAAGATCAAGATTGCAACACCAGTTCAAGGTCAAAGACCTGGAAACTCACCGGAGGGTTTCAGGTGCCAATCTGCAGTGGAAAACTGAAGAAACCTCAGGCCTGGAGACAAATGTCCAGAGGTGCCAGCAGCAAAGTATGGACCCGCTCAGGAAGACTGGATCTCTTCCGAACAGGGACACTTCCTTCTTTACCTTTTCATTCTATCCAGGGTACAAGCTTATTGGATACAGATGAGGTGGGGCTCCCCTCTCAGTTTGCAGGCCTGCATATGAGTCATCTACAGACAAACCCAGAACTGTGCTTTACTAATCGGCTCAGTGTTTTCAACTCATTCAAGTTCATGTGTCATGATAATCATCACAAACAGTAATTTGTAAAACTTTTGCAAGATAACTAAAGAAAGCAAAAATTGTAGTGATTCATTTTAATATTAGATCTAATTTATAACCTATTTCTAGAAATAATTATCCATCGCAATCTGTTGTCTGACTTTGCCACTGTTATAATTAAAATATTCCTGTAAATTTACATATGTCACTCTCCATTTGGTAAGCTTTCTCCACTTTCTCCTCTAGAATATGTAAAATATGCAGTTCATTCATCCTACATCTCAAGGAAATTATTTGCTATATGATTATATTGTTAAAACAGTAATTCAATTGAAATATTTTATACTTTTAATAAGATACATATTATTAACCTTTATGTCAAATATATAATTGAATTTTTCCCACTGGCCTTTTTTATACTTGTAACATTTTCCCAATTCGTTTTAAAGATAAGTCCATCTTTTAGTTTAGAACTTACATCATTGAATGACAGAAATGGAAAGCACCAAGTGAAGGAAGTGAAGAGGAAGACTAGGATGGAAATACAGTATGATAAGCCAGGCATGGAGGTTTCTGCTTATAATGCCAGCACCGTGGGAAGCTAAGGCAGTAGGATCACAAGGCAACTTAATGATTTAGTAAGACCTTACCTCAGGATGAAAAAAATGTTTACTGGGGATGTAGCCCATTGTGTAAGGCCTAGGTCCAATCCTCAGTACCACAAATATAAATTAACCACTTAGCCCAATTATTTAAATATAGGATGACCAAAAATTGCATGTTTTTAGTTAATTTTTATAATATAACAGAAAATATTAAAATGATAATTTTATCAAATGTATTCAATACAAGAATCAACTGGTTGAAATGATGCCTGCCCAAACATCATACATAGTATGTAAACAAACACCTAAGTGACACAGTAAATTAAGGGGTTAATAAAAAGGTGAATGTTTTTTATTTCCCTGTTATAATATGTTGATTTTGTAAAATACTAAACTGATAACAATACTGAATAATTTTTTATTCTAATTTCTGAGGAAATATAGCCGACACACAAGCATCTTGGCTTTATTTTTTCCATTATATTATCCATGTGGATTTTGAAGGCTTAAAACTTTATTTATTATTCTTCAAGGATTTTTAACCACTTGTTTGTAAAACTTACAAATATTTTCTTGAATTTCTCCAGTTTTGTAACCTGTTGAACACAGTACAGACTTTCAAATTTGCATTGTTGTTGTATCAAATAACTAGGATTTTTTACTCTAGTGAGAAAGCAGTTTGTGAGACTGTATGAAGTTCTAAAGATCGTGATTAGTAAGGTGTCTTATGAACCTAACCCATCATCTTTTGCTTGTTTTCTATTTTCCTAGCATTATAAAGATAAGTCCTCAAGAGAATGATATGTTTTTTGACGTTGTTGCTATCATTGATCCCTTGACGAGAGAAGCACAGAAGATGGCACAGTTATTGGTGGTAAGATAATATTTTTATTTTGAAACTTACCTTTTCAGTCTGTTTTCAGGTATAATCAAGTATTTGTGCTCTCAGTTCTTTGTATTATCCAACTGTTTAATAGGCTATCGTATTTTAGTGTAGAAAATAAAATGAAAAAGTTGTGCCCAAAGTGTTATAACAGTATTGAGTTCAAGTGTTGCTGTAGTAGACTTGCTGTAGAGTGTGCCCCACAAAATCCATATTTCAACAGATTAAATATTTTTTTAAGTAGCTTCATGCCTTAGCTCCCTGAGTGACTATATGTAGAAATAAGGCCTATAGGAGGTAAAACTAAGTTAGGTCATAAGTGTAGTTTCCTAGCTGGGCACAGTGGCACTCACCTGTAATTCCAGCACTCTGAAGGCTGACACAGAGGATCACAAGTTCAAGCCCAGCCTGAGCAACATAGTGAGATAGAGAGACACTGTCTGGAACTGAGTATGTAGCTCAGTGTGAAAGCCTTGCATTTAGTCCACAAAACAGAAAGAAAAAAAAAGGATTGTAATTCTTTTGAATTGGTGGTCTCATGGCCTCATAAAAAGAAAGAAGGACCCCTTTCCCAGGCATACAAAGAGCTCATGTGACATGAAGACTGCCTGCAAACCAAGAAGAGAGGCATCACCAGAAACCAAATCAAGTATAAATATGATCCTGGACTTCCTAGCCTTCAAAACCATGTGAAAATTTGTTTAAGCCACTAGATTGTGATATTTTGTTTCAAAGCCTCAGTGAATTAATATAGGTATCTTCCCCATGTAGTGAAGGATGTGTTTGGGACAAGCTGATGCTTAAACCTAATTAGGTGAGGCTTAAAGTATAACTAATGTTAGCCAGACAAAGGGCAGGGAAGGGAGAACATAGGTTGTATTTAGTAAGTTTGTCTACTATAAAAAAAAAGCACAAAACACTACCTTCATCAAGGTGATGTTTCTTTCTGCCATCTAACACTCCAAATATAATGGCTGCTAATGGTCCTCCACAATGTAAGGGATTGTGTTACTGTTGGTTGAGTTGTTCAGGCATCCTCATGCACTGCCTTCTGTCTGGTGGTCTAAGATCACTGGCCAAGCTCCTGACACCTCTGGCATCATCTCTGCTGGCAGAAAGGAGAGAACAAGGCTACAACCCTAAGTTGGACACACTCAGTCCTGGAAAAGAATGCAGCCAGTCATCTGCTGTATTTAGTAACAAGATAGGCTAGAAACTATCATCACAAGCCTTTCATAAAGCTGAAAATTCTTTATTTTTATCCCCCCTGTGACACTAGCGATTGAACCCACAGAGGGATAAGCTATATCCTTAACCTTTTTAAAATTTTATTTTTATTTTTTTAGACAGAGTGTCACTGTTTCCCAGGCTGACCTTGAAGTTGGAATCCCCTGCTTCAACCTCCATTGTAACTGCAGTTAGAGGGATACACGCATGGCATCCAGCATAAAGTTGAAAATGTTTTCATCAAGAATGTAGGGGAATGTCATGAGACAGCTATAAATCTCTAAAAGGACTTTATGTGCCTTACCATTTTACTAAGAATTTCAAAGGTTCAAAGTTTAATGCTGCTTTCAGTAGTTAAATTAGAATAAGCTAGTTACATCAGAAGGCTATATGAATTTCTAATGATGTTTAAAATTTTTATATATTCCAGACTGAAATTACTCAACATTTTTTAAAGAAATGTTTCTTAAAAATATTCCCCGAACTGGATGCTGTCCTTTGACAGTTGGTATCAATGGAAAAAGTAATTAGTTATTAAATCTGATGAATAATGTAGGTGATCAAACTAGCTAATACTAGTATATGCATTTTATGAAATTTTTAATTGTAATTTTTCTCAGAAATTAATTTATACTACCAAATCATACTAGTGCTCACTTTGACAGCACATATACTACCAGGTCATACAGGGGGATTATAAAGGTCTCCTATACATATATCAGTGTAGACACATAGTTTTGGAAAAATGTTGCTATCCAACTTTGCTAACCTATCTGTTCAAGTAGATGAATAAAGCCAACCTAATCCCATGGCTGACTTCCCCATTCTTTAAGCATTTGTATACCTTCAAATAAATATAGTATTCAGATTATTCTTTCAGTAAAGCTTTTTAGTGTACAAATTCTGTTTCTATGGGGAATCATCATTCAGGGGGAGAAAAGATTGGGACTTTTTATGTAAAAGAAATAAGGAATCAAAAATATGTAATTATACAGAGATATAAAATGTGCAGTTATACTCCCGTTTTCATTACTGGTAATAATAACATACTTTATTTCTGAGCAACTTACCTTTTTAAAAAAGAATAAATTAATTTATTGGAAGAAATATACAGTGTTTCACCTAACATTCAGGGAAAATAGTTGGTTCAATGACCTCCACAGTAGCAAATAAGAGAGACGATAACATGAGAATTAAAACACAAAGCTGTAGGATTTAGCTCAGTGGTTCCGCCACCTGCCTTGCAAACACAAGGACCCGAGTTCGATCCCCGGTAGCAAAAAAAACAAAACACAAAGCTGTAATTCTGGCTGGGCATGGTGGTACATACCTGTAATCCCAGCACTCAGGAGGCTGAGACAGGAGGATCATCACGAGTTCACCCAGCCTGGGCTACATAATTAGTTCAAGGCCGTCCTAAACTACATAGTGAGACCCTGCCTCAAATACAAACAGCTGTATGTTCTAATTCCTCACCAGGCCTGTATCTTTTCTGTTCCATATATCATATCTATTTGGGGGGGGTATTTTTTTGTTTTGTTTTGTTGTGTTTTACTTCTTCCTCTACATGTATCCTTTGTTGTCTATGAGCATTTTAATCTTTTTTTTTTTTTTTTTGGTACTGGGGATTGAACTCAGGACTTTGCGTTTGCAAGGCAGGCCACCAAACCGCTGAGCTAAATCCCCTGCTCTGAGCTTTTAAATCTTAAGTAATTTGTTGCCTACCTGGAGATGCAAATGTCAAAATAATTTTTCTCCTGTTTCTTATTAATTTCAAGGTAATATAAAGAAAGAAAATAGAGTACTTCATCTGTAGCCAAGAAGTTCATAGAACTTTTAAAATGTAGAGTGAAATTTCAAAGAGATCAGGGTGCCCTTGCTAATGCTGTTAGGTCACTGCTTTGTGTTTATAGATCAAGGTTTTAGTATTTATTTTACTTGTTTTTCAGCATTAAAACAAGTTAGATACTGTGAAAGAAAGTCATTTTAGAATAAAGACTGGCAGCTTAAATCTGGAGCACTGAAAGTTGTTTGAGTTCAACTCTTTTTTCTGCCATGACTTAGTGTGACATTGGTCAAATTATTTAGGCACTCTGTGCCTCAACTACATGCAGGGACATCATGAGGAGAATAAACATAAAGCGTTGTGTAGTGCCTGACAAATGGTGCATAACATGGTGCTTAACATGATGCAGTGATAAATGATGCTTAGCAAATCTTAACTGTGACTATTATTTACATCAAATATGGAAATTTTTAATAGGTGCTTGGCAAGATTATAAACATGAGGGTAACCCTGTTCATGAACTGCAAGAGTCAGCTTTCAGAAGCTCCTTTAGAAAGGTGAGTTGGAATGAACATAATTTTATTTTGAAATATTTGCAAATCCTAAGAGGAAGGGCCATTATTTACTGCACACATTTTTCTGTCTTTTTCATTAGATGCTTTATTGGTGTAGATTAGAAAGTCATTAGCCAGGTATGGTGGTGCATGCCTGTAATCCCAGCACTCCGGAGGCTGAGGCAGGAGGATTGCTGTGAGTTTGAGACCAGCCTGGGCTACATAGTGAGTTCCCAGTCAGTCTCAACTACATAGTGAAACCCTGTCTCAAAAAACAAAACAAAAAAGAAAAAAGGAAAACCATGTAGTTTATTACCCTTTTTCTTTCTTTTTTTGGTACTGAGAATAGAACTCGGGTCCTTGCACACTTGCAAGGCAGGCCACCAAACCTCTGAGGTAAATCCCGGGCTACCCTTTATTAATATAAACTTGATAAAGAAATGTGATTTAGAGATATATCACTGGGAAATTAGAATTAAACTGTTTTTGTTTCAGCTATACTTTCAGTATTTAGAGCTGAATTTTAAAATGATCTGTTATGTAATTACATTTATATTTTGGAATATTAAGGTGAAAGTAATGCAGAATAACTTGTCAACAACATATTTAATATTATATCCAAATATTCCTATTAATACTGTTCTATTTTTGACTCCTCTGTTATCTCTCAAGAAGGGTCAAAAATGTATCACTGAATCAGAATCACTGTTGTTGTGAACCACTCTTACTGTTAGGAATATTCGATATTCTTCAATTGTTACCAGGCAGGTAAAAGGATATGCGCCATTGGACTAGTATACCTTTGTAAGGCTTACTAATGTGCTTGTTTTTGTATCATTTAGTTATATAACTAAAAAAATATGCATACATACAAGACCGGGGGTACCATTCAGTTAATTCCTTCTCTCCTTTTCAAATTTAATGTTATAGACACACATTATTGCCTTGAGATGACATTTTAAACATAATAAGTACTTTTACTTGGAAAGCAATAAAATAGAAAAGTATCGGAAAGTTTAGGGCTCATTTGTTGCCCCCTCGGGACTCATTCAGCTCATTCACTTTTCCTTTCATTTATCTTTTCTTATTTATCTTTTGTATTTCAAATTTTGTCACATGGCTTTCTAAATCTGAAGAAAAATTTTAATATTTTAGCCATTATTTGAAAGATCTGTTCCATGAGAGCAGAAATTTTATTCACAGGAATGGGAATCCTCCTCATAAATCCTATAAAACTTTGGTTATAATCTGTTGAAAGAGAAAGAACTTGACTTTCATGGGTAAAATAATACCTGAAGAACCAGGTAGAGAATGTACAGGTAAGGGATCTTGCTTTAAACCACCAATTCAGCAGAATCTTACTCAGGAGCATATGTCAAGCAAAACAGCTTACATGCTTCCTCCTGGTCCTTTCCATTTAGAAAGTACTTTTCAGTCCTCTTGGAGATGAGAGGTAATAGGCAGGAATTGCCTCCACTGCCATTCTATCTCCTGTGCCTCCCCAGCCCTTCTGGGTTGCAGGAGAAGAATGCTGTAGTTGTCTTCTTTTTTAAGGTGACTCTTCCCTCCCTGTTTGAATTCCAGTTTATCTTGGGACCTTTATCTCATATTCTCTTTGTTCTGTCTTTACCCTCTGTTAGCTTTTTTCTTTCAGTCCTTAAAATTGCTCAGTTTTGTGAAAGGTGCTCCCTTGACTTCCTTTCCTCTAGAGTGCTGGCTTTTCTTCTTCACTCTCTCGGCTTCTTTGCCATTGAATTGTTCTTACTAAATCACAAAGAAATTAATGTTTGCAACATTGTTGAGCTACTTCTTCCTTGGCATTTGTGCTGAATCTGACAGTACTGAGTACTTGTTTTTATACATGCTTGGTAATATTTGTGTATTATTTGATGACTATCTTTTCTCCTATGACCCCTGTTATTTCTTTTGTGTGTATGTGTATATGTATGCTGTTTGGGTTTTTTCTTGCTTTGCTTTGTGGTATTGGCATAGAACCCAAGGCCTCACACATGCTAAGTGCTGTACCCCTGAGGCACATCCCCAACCCTGTTCTTTTTGTTTGTTTGTTGTTTTTTTGTCTCCAGATGCACTCATTTTTGACAGAGGAGCCAGCCATCCTCAATGGAAGAAAGATAGCCTCTTTAATAAATGGTGTTGGAAAAACTGGATTTCAACATGCCAAAGATTAAAACTAGACCCTTATCTGTCACCATGCACAAACTAAAATCCAAGTGGATTAAAGATCTAAATATTAAAAAAGGAGTCACTAAATTTGCTGGAAGATAAGTTAGACATTGGCATAAGAAAAGATTTTGTGAACAAATCCTTAGTAGCATGGGAACTAGCAGAAAGAATCAACAAGTGAGATCTCATCTTATTAAAAAGCTTCTGCACTGCAAAAGAAACCATCAACAAAACTAAAAGACGACCTACAATGTGGGGAAAAAATTTTACCAGCTGCTGCTCAAAGGACTATTATCTAGAATATATAAAGAACTCAAAAAAAATCAGTCCCCCCCCAATATAAAGACCCTATTCAAAAATGGGCATCTGAAATGTTTTGTTTTGTTTTTGAGACAGAGACTCCCTACCTTTCCTAAGTTAAACCCAAACTTTAAATTCTCCTGCCTCAGCCTCCCAAGTATCTGGGATTGCAGGCTTACACCATCATACCTGGCCGTCTTCTTTTGTTATAAATGTGGCTGCTTACATGATATGGCTTCTAGTTATTACCATTACATGGCATTCATGCTCTATGAAATTCTGGCGTGAGGGCTGGACCTAGTGATTTTGCTTCTCATGAACAAAATATGGCAAAGGTGATGGAATGTCTCTTCGCCAATTAGATTATAAGAGATGGTGGCTTGCATGTTGCTGGCTTTCTCTCTTTTTGGCTCTTCCTATATGTTTCTCCAGGAAACCCCCTTGCAGCAAATACATGGGGGCAGTAGTCTCTAGGCAACCTCTTATGAAATTGTAGCCCTCATTCTACAACCCTCGAGGGACTGGAAGGGCCAAGTAGTAGAGCCTTTGCTTTCCTTCTCCCCGCGCTGGGCTTGACTGCTGTAGCACACTTGCTACCTTGATGGTAGTCATCTTCCCCACGGGGAAAGTCACACACACCCCTTTTTTTATGGTACTAGGGATTAAACCCACAGCCTTTGTGCTGAGATACATCCCTGCCCTTTTTATTTTGAGATAGGATCTTCTTAAATCACTAAGTTGCCCAGGCTGGGCTCAAACTTGCAGTCCTCCTGCGTCAGCCTCCCAGAGTGCTGGAATTATAGGTATGCGTTACCACTTTGTAACTAATTCTTACTGTGTGATACTGAGAGGTGAAGCTAAAATATAGTAAAATCACAGACATGCTGAAAACATCTTCTAAGCAGCTACATTTATCTCAGGCCTGTTTGTTTTTAATTCAGCTTTTATAATTGGTACCAAAATTTTATTTATTTTCTAGGTCTTATTTCTCTTTCTATTATTAGTAGTGGTAAGAGTTAATAAAGTAGCCAAAAGAATAGACTATATCAAATGTGAAGTGTGTGAATATAAATCACAAACTCTTATAACTTGGATAAATCAGGTATATCTTAAAAGTATTCTAATCATAAGAAATAAGATTATATAGCATACTGTTTCATAATAGATAATACTATAAACAAAATAATGGTCTTCCATTTATAAATGTTCACATTCTGCGGTACATGTTGCCCTTTGTATTTAAAATTTTATGGTCATTTACTAACCTATGTTTAATTTTAAAGTATTTTAGTCAAAAGAAATAATCATTTCAATTTTGGTCACAGTAATTTTATGGTTTATTAACAGCTTTTACCGTTTTGTCCTGGAGCCAGAACTGATGTCAGGGGATAATGATCGTCCTTTTCTTGGGCCGGTAGCAAAGTTCCTGGATATCCCTGAGTCACCCCTTCTGACCCTCAACCTAATCACTCCAGAAGGCTGGTTGGTTGACACAGTGCACAGCAGCTGTGACCTTGACAACATACACTTAAAAGATGTAAGTTACTGTCTGCAGTTATACATACATAGAGAGAAATGGGGTAAGTCCTTAAGAGCTTTCTTACTTGTAGCCAGGGAACAGACATCCTGTAAATGCTCACCAGAATTTACTTCTTTCTGAGTTTTGGTCTTAGTCCAGTCATTTCTTTGACTTTTTTAAGTTTCCCTAACCTTCAGATTCAACTTCTCTAGTTTTCTAGGTTCCTAGGTGCCTTAAGCCTAATCGCCTTGTACCACACTGGCTCATAAAGAGACTACTCCAAGATGAACCGTTTAGAACATTTGGAGATAGACACATGACAACTTAAAATTATACACTTAAGTATCTATTTTGCCCTTCAAGTTTGGTTTTAACTCGGAGAGGAAATTAGATTCAAAACTTTTTGTGACTCATTTCTCACAGACAGAGAAAGCAGTCCTAACTAGATTAGGGTAGAAAGCAGGAAAGAGTATTGAGTATTATGCTGTTCTACAGTCCAGATAGATCTGCTTGTCATCACCACCAGAGTGACATTTGTCTAATAAATATTGAGACTTTTCTTCCTCATCTTTTGTCATTCAATCCAAAGAGGAAAAAAAAGAATATTTTAAAATCTGCTGAGTCTTTTAAAACATTGAATTCAGAATGAAAAAAAAATAATTCAGAAACTGTACACACACTTATATATGCATAGGCATCCAAGCATTTTAGGAGAACCCGCCTTAGATTGATCTGCAGAAACTGAAGAAAAAATATTTTCTTCTCCCTTTTTCCTCCTTCAGACCTGTTTGCAGCTTTTGTGTTTGACATCGCCTTTAGAATGCAGCCATTGCCTCAACCAAGGCATAAACATAAACCTGTAGTAATTAGCTTTACATTATTCATAATATATATTTTTTTAGGTTTCTCTTGTGTTTACCTTCTAGATTTTCCTTCTAGGCAAATTCCTTTTGATCCACTCATGAATAGATTCTGTTGGATCTTAAATTATTTGCCTGTACCATATCAATACCCCAACCTGACCCAGCCAGAAGAAAAGCTAAAAGTTGGTCATAGCCATCATCTAAAATCAGTCCTTCAAATCTAGGGAAAGAATAAGGAAGGCAGCAAATTTAATAAAATTTAAGAGGGAAAGTTAAGAAATAAACTTGGCAAGAAATGAAAAAAAAATCCCTGTTTTCTCCATAATCATCTCTCTTAAGAGCCTACTGGATTCTTAAGAAAGAGTGTACAACAATATATTGGTAAGATAACGTTAAAGATTCTAACCAAAAGTGTGAAAAGTTTGTAGTGGAAGAATTAGTACAGCTGTGAAAAGACAATGGCACCTGCTGGTAAAATTTCAGCAGCTGTTAATGAAAACTGAATGTTTTTGGTAGTAAGTGGCAATCTACTCATGTCTTTAGAAGGTGTTCAGTGAACAGTAGCTTAAATTAAAAGGCTAAAATAAAAAAGTCCATATGTCTTTATAAATTCTGTGAATACAGTGAAGGAAATTAGCAACTGTGAAAGTTAACTGCCTCTCATGCTTTTTTTTCTCATTGTGTGTTATACAACTTTAACATTATCTGCCATTTTCCTAGGAAAATATGAAATAATGAATAAAATCATTTACCAGAATAGAAAGGAAATTTAGGAAAGCGAAGAATAATCTGACAAAAAATGAAACTAACTTGAGAGACTGGTGACTGTATGCTAACTTGTGTAAATATCCCTTGCTGCATCTAATTTCCAGACATATGTAAATGCCTGGAAAAAGATTTGATCTAAAAAATTCTCCCTTAGTAGAACATGATTATAACCATGAAGACTTCATTATACAATAAGCATTAAAATCATAATTAAGATGAAAGAGGAAGTTATAGGAAAGTTAAAAGTGAGACAGTTACATTTATTCACCTGAAAGAAAGCGCTATGGCTATTTTTGGTGTTGTGGTTTGAATAAGTCAACAGAATTTTGAGTGGGCACATATAAAGGAACAAGACAAATTCTCATGTTAATTTATTACAAATTTTAGGAAGAAGATGCTAATCTCACATGTAATTAAAGTTACACAGACTCTGCCGTGATATTTAATTCATAATTAAAAATCATTAACCTTAACTCACACTTCTAAAGTTTTTTATCTATAAAAATCTAGATGATCTCTATAATCTCTGTCTTTTAGCATCTCTTTATTCCATTTCTCTTCCATGGAAATCTTTCCATTCAAGCAAATTGCTTTAAATACTGTGGATACAGTTTAAGTATCTAAAGTTCAGCACTAGCATAGTGATAGCTCATCAAATAATTAAGAATGTATGCCAGGCATGGTAGTGCAAACCTGTGATCCCAGCACTTGGGAGGCTGAGGCAGGAGGTTTGCTGTGAGTTCAAGGCCAGCCTGGGCTATATAGTGAGACCTTGCCTCAAAAAATAAAAAGGAATGTAAAGTTGTCAACAAATACTGTCTTAAAGTTACTTCTTGTTCAGAGAGCAGTATAATTACAAGAATAAGAGGACTTGACAAAAAATGCCATGCCCAAGTGCTGTAATTCCTTCTGAGATAATTACAGCCAGGGAAAACTGTACAATATTTCTAAAAACTCCATCTAAGTGCACCAGAAATAGTATCAAAAGCCTCATATAACGAACTAAACTTACATAGAGATAACATCAGTCTTTAATCTGCTTAATAAAATTCCCAAACTATGTTAAAGTCACTTACTGTTTGATTTGTTTTCATATTTGGCCATGTTGTTGCTTTATCCCTGAAATATTTATATAATAACATTTTCCATACAAGAAAAGCTAGTAACGGAATGTCCAGCCATTTAAAAAGATGTTTATGGGGCCGGGGATTTAGCTCAGTGGTTTCACTGCCTGCCTCACAAGCACAAGGACCCGACCAAGTTCAATCCCTGGTGCCAAAAAATAAATAAATTGATTAAATTTTAAAAATAAATAAAAAGATGTTTATGAAGTTCGGATATGGGCATGCACCTAAAGTCCCAGCTATTCAGGAGGAAGTGGCAAGTTCAAGAATTGAATTGCAAGTTCAAGACATAATTAGACCTGTCTCAAAAGAAAAGAGAGAGAGAGAGAGAGAGGAGAAAAAAGAAAAGGGAGGGGAGGGGAAAGATATTTATTTATTTATTTTTGGCAGTAGCGGGGATTGAACTCAGGACCTTGCACTTACAAGGTAGGCACGGTGCCACTGAGCTAAAAAACTATGAAAAAAAGAAATTAAAATGCATTGATATTTAGTCTGCAGGTGCTTTCTATTTTCCTTCTAATAATTCTAACACTTAATTTTTTTAATTATGGGAAAGCCAATAGATAATGACTTGGCTTTCTTGTCCTGTCTGAAGTGGATACAGAGCAAGAGCAAATGGAAGCAGCTTTTTGGGAGTAATATCTCGTCAAAATGTGTCTTGAAGAGATTTTTGAGTTATGAGACACCCATCCATCCTCACATCTCTGCATGGGGATGCTGGTACATATATCTTTTGATTGAAGGAAAGCTGATATCATTAAAAAGAAAAATGCATCATGAGTTTAATGTAAAAGAGTAAAAGTTATCCACCAAAATACATTAGCTATCATTAAAATAATCGCATTTATTACTAAATCTGTATTATGAAGGTTACTAATACCAAAACCAATGACGTGTTCCCTCCACAGATTGAGAGAAGTGTTACAGCAGAATATGAACTAGAATATCTGCTACTTGAAGGACATTGCCTTGACCCAATGACAAAGCAGTCTCCTCGGGGTTTGCAGTTTACACTAGGCACAAAAAATAAACCTGTCATGGTTGATACAATAGTGATGGCCAATTTTGTAAGTATTCTACATATTTAACTGATGATATTTAATGTTTTGGTGAAATTCTCTTAAATTCTCCTAATAGTGAGATGAAGTGATCTTTATTGTTCTATTGCTGAACAGCTCACAGAAAATAAAAATGAATTCTTAACCAATACAAAAAGGAAAGAATCATACTTTCATATATGCTTTTTATAGGTTATTATAAAAATTTCCTCCCTTAATTCATTTATACAATGTTCTCTTTCTATAGTTAATAAACACTTAATTGGATAATTCACTTATAGTCTTCATGAACACTTGGGTGTTCTTAGTCATATCATTCAATGATCTTTTTTCCCCCTCTCTTTACTTAAAAGGGATATTTTCAGTTAAAAGCAAACCCAGGTGCTTGGATACTGAAATTACGCCAAGGGAAATGTGAAGATATTTATCAAATAATTGGGTGAGATATACAAATTGCTTTTAAATCTTTATATGTGAATAAATTCAGTATGATATAACCAAGATCATCCAAACAGCACTTGAATATGGAAAATGCTGGCTGAGGTCCAGGGGTCAGCAAGATGGCAGAACAAGATTTTCCAGGTCTTGTGCACTCCACAAAATTTGAATATCTATACTCAGCTGGGATATTACAACACCTAAGTGTAGCACAGAAATAAGAAAAGGTGTGTTCCAGAGGGCAGAGCTTTGTATTGCCTGCATTGCTGTCTAACAGCTCCTGGGAGAATAGGGAATAAACACTGCACTTTGCAGTGACCCTAAAACCAGGCCTACCCCAGTAAAACCCAGCACCAGGCAGGCTTTCACAGCCTCAGACTCCAAGCTAGTATCTACATACCAAGCTCCCAGGTCCTGATATCTTGTGGAATCTTTGAGCCCCAGTCTCTCTACCTGCCTGACAAAATCTCCATTTCTGTCCTACGATCAAGCCTACCCTAGTGCATCGAGCCAGTCCTGCAGACTCAGTCTTCAGGTTCATCCCAGAGTCAGGCTGTTTCTTGCAGGCTGGGACTCCAGACTATACCCAGCACTAGGATGCTTACATGGCCCCAGGCTTTATGCCTTCCCAGGATCAGGCCAGCTGAACCTCTACTGTTCCAGCTTCATCCCACCCCCGTTGCATGAGTTCATTTACATATAGAATCTAAAAAAGGTTAAACTCACAGAAGCAGAGAGCACAGTGGCTATTACCAGGTATTGAGGGTAGGGAGATAGAGTTGGCAAGATGCTGGTTGATAACAATTTAATTCAAGAAAAGTAAATTTAAGTGATCTATTATTTATCATGGTGACTATACTTACTAATTATATTTTATTCTTGAAAACCATTGGGAAAGAGTTTTTACCACCATTCTATAATTTATATGTATTTCAAAACCATATGATAAAAATGTACAACTTCATTTGTCAGTTTAAAAAAATAAATTACAAGAAGGTTAACAAATAGCCCTCTTAAACACAAATTACCTGTTGAACTGCAACAGTTGCTTGTATACCCATTTTATTTCAAAAATATAAAATGAATGCCTACATATATATCTTGTTCTATATTCTCTTTTACTTACTATTTTCTGTAGGCTTTTCCATGCAGTAGTATAATTCATATATTTACCACTTAAGGACAGTGTAATAGGTATCTTACATAACTAACTATACCTGGTGTAGGTTTCCTTTCTTTTGGCGGGGGTGCCAGGGATCAAACTCAGGACCTTGTGCTTGCAAGGCAGGTAGTGGCACCACTGAGCTAAATCCCCGGCCCTCTTATTTTTATTAATAATTGGTTCAGGGCTGGGGGTTTAGCTCAGTGGCACTGTGCCTGCTTTATAACTGCCAAGGTCCTGAGTTTGGTCCGCTGTACCAAAAAAAAAAAAAAAAAGAATTGGTTCTTTTCACTGAAATTTTCCTGAGGGCCAGGGATTTAGCTCAGTGGTTCTGTTGCCTGCCTCACTGAAATTTCCTGCTTATCCAAGAGCCACAGGATCATCATAGGTATAATCACTCGCAGCCTTGTGGGGTCTTTGTAAAGACTAAATGAGATAATCAATAGAATTTCTCACATATTGATAAATATTTTCTTATAGCCTCCCACTCCCTTTTTTCTTTTCTTTTCTTTTTTTCTTAGACGTGATCTTGCCATGTAGTTCAGGCTGGCCTTGAAGTCACTATATAACTCAGACTAGCCTGAAACTCACAGTAATCCTACCTCAGCCTCCCAAGTGCTGAACTTATAGGTGTATAGTACCATACCCACCTCACTTCTTTATAAATTGCAATTATAGAACACATGTTATGTGTAGAACTATATATTAGATTCCACTTTATCATTATTTTCTATAATATTTCATCCATAAGTGGATATTTTGAGGAGAAAAAAAGGCCCTGATATTACATTTTAAATACAACTAACATATTAGCAGGAAACTTTTTTATCATTAAACACTAGCTATCAGTAATGAAAATAACTTGAAGTTTGTTTATATCACTTAGGAACAACCAAGCCTTAAAGTTTTTATTAATATTACCTTAATATTTTCCCATGTGATTAGTAAATCACTTGATACCCAGAATAGAAAAAAAAATACTACCCTGTTTTCTTAGTTGCTTTTCTCATTCCTGAGACAAAATGTCTGATCCCCACAGTTAAAGGTGGAAAGGTTTATTTGGTTCACAGTATGTAGAGGTTCCAGTTCATAGTCAGCTGGCTCCAAAGCAGGGTAGCATGGCAGAGGGGCATTGCAGAGGAGAAACAGCCCATGATAGACAGAAGGCAGAAAAACAGTGAAGTAGCAAAGCAGCAGTAGCAGTCTGCCTCTCCCTCTTATCCCTTCCAGGCTATCTGCCCTTTGTGTGGTGCCACCCACACCCAGGGTAGGCCTTCCCATTATCCCTACCCAGAACTGTGCCAAACCAATCAGTGGAATAATTTAGTAACGACACGTTCTTTGGGGGGGGGGTACCGGGGTTTGAACTCGGGTCCTTGAGCTTGCAAGGCAGGCCACCGAACCGCTGAGCTAAATCCCCGGCCCTAACGACACGTTTTCAATCGCAGTATCACATGTGCTACATCAAGTGGCCTCTAAAAAGCCCCACCTATGTCTACATAAGGCTTTGGGGGAAAATCTAACACAAACTGTAACACCTGTAATAAAATATTCTTTGAAACTAAAGTATTAGTAATTAAAACTAGGCCAATGTAGAATATAAGAAAAGTGGATATTCTGTTATCCCAAAATATGATTTAGTTCTAATTAATACTACATTTATATTTAGGAAAAATATTCCTAAAACATGCTGAAAAGCTAAGGTAAAATATTGTTGACTAGAGTTTCTAAGTCTGGATTTTAAAATTATGGCTAAATTATTTGATATTTTAAAACTTGGCTTTCTGTTGTTAGGCATATTCGGGTATGTACTTTCATTAGGTACCCCAGCCTTGAGCATCAGTCTCCTGCTTAGGTAAAAGAAAAACACTGGAACAAGACTGAAACAGAAAATAGGGATCTGGGACCATCTAAGCTGAGCTGGCAGCAAAGACAGCAGGCACTCAAGACCTCCAGTATTCATTGAGTACACAGCCATAGAAAGAAATGGGGCATGGTGTGTGTGAGACATCTGGTGACAGTGTGTAAGGAGCCTGGTGGTAGCAGTTCAACAGGCAAGGCCTGTAAAAGGGGTGATAAGGCATTCCTACAGAAGGAGCAAAGGGAAACCAAGACCTGCTCGTAATTAACCAGTAACCCTTCAGGTCAGTGGGGGAGGCCATATTTCGGGGAAAGGAATTTAGTTGGAGCCACACTGTCCTCGGCCATGATGTTGTCTCAATCAGGGCCCCGAGTAGGGGAAGTGCGAAGGGTAGGAGAAAGGAAATAAGGGGAAATAAAAAATATGAGAAAAGGAAAAATGGAAACAAAGTCTTTGTATATAGGGGAGGGTTGAGGGGTGAAGGCAGGGAGGGCAGGGGTATGGGGGGGAAAAATGAGAACCAAGACCTGCCGTGTAAAGATACAAGATCCCAATGTTGAATGTAACGGTACTGTATACTTAAAAAGTACCAATAAACTAGATACAAATGGGAAAAAGCTCAGGGCCCTGAAGCTTCACAGGACTTAGACCTTTGCTGCCACAGCTGTTGGGTGGAGCTCTGCTCACCCACGGGCCATCTGACATGCCACATGCATCAGGTAGGCTTCAGTCAGACTCCTCATATAACACAGCTGAATTACGGGGACACCTAGGCCCCTCATAGCCTGCCATAAACTGGGAGGAGGCCAGCTACATACTTTCTATCTCTGCAGACTTTTTGTGATATTTAACTGCAGTATGTACCTGTCTACTCATACTCAGTACTAGCTCTTCTTACCTTGAGGACAAAATTCCTCAAAATTACTCTCTTAGAAAACATAATCTTGACAGTTCTAAAATTTAAAAATTTTCCTTAGATTTTTCTAGTTCTAGAGAATATCAGAATCTCTGTGTATCCTTCAATATGCTATTATGCTAGACTTTTCATTGGCAATCTTAAGAAAATTTTTTCCTGCAAAATTTATGTTGGTACCTACTCGTAGTGTGGAGCATTTTAGTCTGAACTGCTTGTCCTGTGCTTCATAGGGAAGCAGGAGAGGTTTCCAACAAAGCTTTCCATTCTCTCTCCACATTTACTTGAGCTGGCCCATTATAAGCTCACTGCATTCTCTGTCCTGGCAGTAGTTAAAGTTCACTCCTCAGAGTGTTTCTGTAGAAGCTTAGAAGTTCTCCATTGCTGCACCTCATTCTCCCTTAATTCCGTGGTCCCTATTGTTAGAGCTCCATTAAATTTGGCTGCTTCTAACAATATCTGAGCCTCTGATGCTCCACTGTTACACTGGCAGCCTATTTTTACTGAGGTCTCCTCATGCATCCAGGTTGCCATATTGGTAGGGCACATGACTGATGACTCCATGGTAATAGCAAAATCAAATGTCTCTCCTGCTTGACTATATCTGATCCATAGGAAATACCTCCACGACACTTGCCTAAAAAATTCAAGTTCAGGCCAGTCACAAAATGGCACTTTCCTGGCTCCTTGATTATAGCAATGAGTTGGTCAGTCCTCAAATATACATCTAAGTCCACGAACACTCTTTCCCAGACATGAGCCAGACACCAATTCACTGTGTATTCTAACTTCACAGTGTATGTTTTAATGTTTTCCTCTTAAAGTATTTTTTGCCTTACTAGGTCTAGAATTAGAAGGTAATACTCCTCTTGTCTGAACCAAAGGATGTAGTGGCAGATACTCACAACCTAGCAAGAGCTCTTCCAGCCTTCATATCACACAGTCCCATTTCTTAATCTTTTTAAAACATTTATTGTTGTATTTTAGATATACATAATGGTAACGGTCATCATAGCGAATTTGTACCTATACATGATATATGTTGCTGCTGCTTTTTTTCATCCC